GCCGCGGAGAATGAGCTGCAGGGAGTGAATCGCGTCCATCTCGACGTCCTCCCAGGGGAGCGAGCGCTGCTTGACGACTTCGAGGAACGCGGCGAAGGAGGAGCGCGGGTGCATGCGCTTGGGGTCGTCCTTGTCTTCCGGGTTGTGCCTCTCGCCGCCCCACTTCACCTCCTTCTCCGCGTGCGACCGGAACCAGAAGAGAAAGTCCTTCTCCGTGATGCGCGCCGCCGCCATACCGCACACGGCGTTCCCGAGGGTCTCCGCGTTGGGATATCCCGCGTCGGCCAGACTGTCCGTAGACAGACCGGTGGAGTCCTTATGCTGCTCCAGCAGCCAGGAGGCAATGTCCTGAATCTGCTGCTCCGTGGGGGTCGTTCCGAGCAGCCAGAACCGGCCGCCGTAGAACAGCGCCGCGCCGTCGCACTTGACGAGATCCATGATGTTCGGCGACTGCGAGACGATCCCGATGGGCGCGTCGCGCAGCAGCATATCGCACAGGAGTGTCTGGGTGCGGAGAATGTGCTTCTCGCGCAGCTGAGCGGCCAGCTCGACCTCCATGTTCAGCTGGAGACCGAACACCTGCATGAGAAACTCGCACGCGGAGCGCAGCGGGAAGGGCACGTAGCGGGGCGAGGAGTGGTGGCAGACGACGAGCCCCCAGAGCTTGCGGCCCTTGGACTGGCCGGCTGCGACGGCGTCCTCGTCGTTGTCGTTGATGATGACGGCCATGACGAGCGAGGCCGTCGAGCCCATGTTGCCCATGTACTTGAGATGGCACGGGTGCACGCCGCGCAGGGTGGAGCCCGCGAGAGAGATGGGCTGCTTGAGCGCCTCGCTCTGAACCACCGGCACCTGGAAATTGCGGTTGACGGGGGAGAACGGAGGCAGAGTGGTTGGAGGGGGTGGGGTAACGGGGGCGGAACTAAGGAAGACGGAAAGGGAGAGTAGTGAGGGGGCGAAGGGAAGCGTTGACAGAAACGAGGATGATGCCATGAGAGAGAGGCGATGGAGCTCATATTGCCCGTGAAATTTCAGCTTTCAAGGTTATACTAAACGTTGGTGTCCTTTGGATGTGTGAATAAGCTCTCTCTAATGTGAACATACGCATTCAGCGGGTAGTATGCTTCGTCTCGGCTGACTGTCCGTTTTCACCTAAAAGGCCCGTGGCTATTCGGCTACACACAAACACGAAAAAATCGAGCAGTCTAGGAAACCACTACCAGCATTCGCGAAAACAACATAATCCGCATGTTTATTACTCACCGGAGCGGAGTTGCAGTCGCAAATCATGCGAACGCGGTTCTTCATGAACAGGAACCGCGACGCCTGCGGGATGTCCGTCGCGGGGTAGTGCAGCCCGAGGTACGGCTCCATATCCGACCGTCGGATCTCCGCAATCACCTCGCCGTGCTCGTCCTCGTGGAACTTGTAAGTCATCACCCGGTCGTACCCGGTCAGCTCGCGAACCTCCTCCACGACGGCGTCGCACAGTAACCCGATGTCGCCACCGGGAAGGCCCTGCAGGCGCGAAATGGCCTTCGCCGCGAGCTTGTGCGACTGGAGGGCGCCGGCGGCGGTGACGGTCGGGTCGTTGGGGCGCACGGGCTCGAAGTCGATCACCAAGCCGACGTCAATGCGGTGCAGAACGGCGTAGAAGGGTTTCTGCGAGCCGCGGCACTGCACGGAGACGGGGTTCATCATGGACACGTCCTGCGCCGCCGCCGCCTTCTCGAGCGCGGAGACGGACGCGGGGGTGAAGAGCGTGCGCGCATCCGTGCCGATGTCTGCGAGAAAGCAGGAAAGGGAGTGAGAGAGGAAGCGAGAGCGATAGAGAATAATGAATGAGAGTACCCTCACCAAAAACGCATCCTTACCAATAACTTCAGCACACGGGGAAGAGAGAAGTAGACAAGGACGATAAATGAATACCAGCGTGCACGAAAACATCCGTGTTTCGGTAACTGTACCATTCGCAATTCCTTCGTTCTACTTGTTAAGAAGAAACAAAAGCAAAGTTATCTTCTTTTCCCGTCCATCGCCTGTCACATCCACTCACCAAGCAGGCCCTTGGAGCCGACAGTCGGCACAGCCTGCGGCAGCAGGTCGAGCATCTCCGGCGCGTTCTCGCTGTACGCAATCACCTTAAAGGTCTCCTCCTCCACCGCAATCATGCACCCGAACGTCTGCGTAATCCCGCCGCGCTGCATGCGCTGCAGGTACGCCGTGATGGTCGTCGACGGCATGCTCTCCGCGCCGGTGCCGCGGCTGGCATCGACGGACTTGCTGTAGTCGAAGGTGTCGCCGGTGTTGGCGGAGTTCTCGAAGGCGGAGTGCAGCTGCGCGTCCGCCGTGGCCTGCGCCACGCGGATGTCGCGCTTGGACTTGTGCGAGCTTCCGCCCGACGAGCCGGACATGCGCGACGACATGGCGGGCAGATGCTTGGGTTCCGGAGAAGTTTGGGATGTGGTGGCGAGAGTTGGAGGCTGGTGAAAGTTTTTGTGTGTGACGAAGACGGATTGTAGTGGTGTGATGTTGGAGCCTGGATAAATAAGAGTGGTCATTGCCATGCAATGTCAATGCACGTATACAAATGGAAGGGGGGGAAGCAGGAAAGAAAACGACTCGGGTGCTTAGATGGCAGAGATAAGAATGGGTGGCAAGAAGACCATCATTCAAAGAAAACACGAGCGGCTGAAGGAAGGAAAAAACAACAAAAAGAAACGACATTGTCAATACCAAGCAAGCTGGTAACTAACGTCCTATGAACACTACTTGATACCATGTTACACCTCAACGGTCCGCTTCGTGTTATTATTTCCCACTTTTGATATTGGCCGCTACTATCACTCGAGCATCGTTAACGTGGGCTGAATGAAAGGCGGAAGAAAGAACAGGAAACCCAAGAAAGGCGTACGGCTCAGTTCCCAAGAGATTTCCGACACAAAAAGCAGTTACCAACACAGCTTAACGCATATCTACGCAACACACCACGGCCACGGCAAGTAGTATTTCATACCTAGTCCTCGTTGAAGAAAACGAGCTCCAGCGCTGCAACCTTGCACCTGGAAGTTCTCTGATTTGCGACTGAAGAGCAGACGGAAAAGCAAAATATGGGATTTTGCAGATTCAAAGGTGGGAAGTCAATCAGGAGAATGAAGAAAGGGAAGGAGTGGTGGATTGATAGGATAGGGGCAAGCTGTTGCTGTGCTAGGATATTTCCAACAGAGCTGAAGCTTGTTCAATGCAGTCCTAGAAACGTATGTGGTTACATGTCTAGTATTTGTCGCCTATTTTTTCGCAACCAATTATTTTCTTTCATTTTGTGAAGGGATTGAACAGAACCCTTGAGATGTGCGTTTTGCGTTGTGTACACCAATACTCAAGGGGAGGTGAGGTGGCACGGGCACAGGTTGGGGGTGTGCGGGTTTGGGATGGTGGTGGTACTGTGACAGGCATGTGGGTTGGAGAGACGGGAGGTGGGGTGGTGGGGTGGGGGGTGAAATCACGATTCACACGGGGCTGATGGACTGCCAGCTCCACTGTCCCTAGATGTGGGCGGGAATTGCCTTCTGAAAAGACACGGGAAGCTGTGAGGGAAACCTCAAGAAGAATCAATCGCATCATCAAGCGAGGATTGCAAAATGTCCTCGCTACCAATCAAGGGTGGAATTTCTGGTTACCTGCAATGTGTGTTCTTCGTCCACCGCCTCTTGCCAACAAACACGGCAGACATCTCGATAGGGAGGAGATCCAATGATTCTTCCCGGACCAATCAACGCAAGGGGCTAATGCCAGATCGCTGCCAACAGCTCATCCGTCACGTGATGCCATACGTCACCAGTGCACAAACCTGAACCCAACACTTAGTTGCCCAAGCTGATGTGGACAGAAACCAGTCACGAGCAGCCCTTTTTTGGTTGTCGAACCAGGAAAGAGCTAAATATCTTGGCAGTTGACCAGCAGTGCAAAGGTAAAACAGCCCAACAGTGAATGGTTGTGTGTCTGATCACAGTCCTTCATTATATGCTTCGACTCCAGACTAATATTTTTCAGTGCAAAACAAGGTGCAATGACTATCCCATACTATGACGAGTGTTACAAATGAAACGAATCCAAGTATGTGCAACTTTTTCCTATTTGTAAAGAATTATTATTCTTTCTCCATTAACGTACTATTTATTCACTAACGGGAATATTATTGAGATGGATTGTGCTATTCGATAGAATAGATAGGAGCCAAGCAAACTCTTTGGTTGGGTTTTGGGAACGATACAAGAATTACTGCATTGAACAAAATGTTTGTGATTTGTTGCAACTCAAACATGTTCTGAGAATGAGCAAGGATGCATTTTACGCTATAGAATAGTTGCACGGTATTTCTTATTTTTCGGAAGGCTGACACTTCAACACACATTAGTTGGAATGAGACATCCCATATGTAGTTAAATCGAGAGGTAGCAGCAACATAAGGCCAAGCTCCTGTCGCTAGCACAAATCGTACCGGTAGCACAAGAGGCAGCAACAACCTAAGGCCTAAGATTAACCCGAAAGTGACAGCAGCAGACCATGTCACTTGTGGGCACCGAGAGTTAAACAAAGAACAGTGTCAAACGACATACATGTAAGTATGTCTTATCACTGTATGCATAGAGCAGAAGAATCATAGAAGTGTAACAAACGTATGCTGTAAAATAGCGATGGTAGCAGAACAGTGAGCTCAACAGCAAAAGGTGAGTAAACAGACTGACAGCATGGAGCCGCTGCAAGGGCCCGAGGCCCCGTGAAAGTGAGCGAACCATCTTAGTGGGTAGATACAATACCATCCCTCAACTGAGAGGGTATAACTTTAGGAATCAGGGCCACGGCAGAGGGTAAAGAAGAGCAGCAGAGGCTCGAGCGCAGCTGGGGGGTAGTAGTTGCAGAGGAGGAACTGAGCCAGGACGGTGAAATTGCAGAGCAGAGAGTGATACTGTGATACTGGCAGTCTGGCCCTGCATGGGCTAGAGAGTAGCAGCTGGCGCGTAGTACTTGCATTCAAGGAATTGAGCCGCCCCGGTGAAGTTGCCCTTGTATGGGCAGAGCGCCTGGTGGGGGGTGGGGGGGGACAGTTGGGGGAATGGATGATGGGAACAGAGACAGCAGCAACTGGGAGTCAGTAGTTGCAGACAAGGAACTGAGCCACATCGGTGAAATTGCCCTTGTAGGGACAAAGAGTCTGGTGGGAGGGATTGGGGAGATATGGTGGGTAGTAGATGGGGGATAGCAACAGTGAGGCTACAGGGCAGCTGGGGATGGTAGTTGTAGAGAAGGAACTGAGCCACACCGGTGAAATTGGCCTTGTAGGGACAGAGAGCCCGGTGGGAGGGATGGGGGAAGGAGGGACGGAGAGAAGGATAGGGAAAGGGACGGGGGTCGGAAGGGGGAAGTGATGTGGGGAACGGAACAGGCACACAGGGGGAGAAGAGGAGCAGGGAGAGAATGTGCCGCATCCAGCGATAGTGACCATGTGTGACAGTGACCATGTGTGATAGTGACCATGTGTGATCGTGACCATGTGTGATCGTAACCATGTGTGATAGTGACCATGTGTGATCGTGACCATGTGTGACCGTGACCATGTGTGATCGTGACCATGTGTGATCGTGACCATGTGTGATCGTGACCATGTGTGATCGTGACCATGTGTGATTGTGACCATGTGCGATCGTGACCATGCGCGATCGTGACCATGTGTGATCGTGACCATGAATGTTAGGAGGAAAGGTAGAGAGAAAGAGGGGGAGACGGCAGCAAGCAATGCACCTCGCCACACCCCATTCTTCTCATGTCTTTTTGCGTGAGGTGAATGAATGCAAGAGCCACAGCGAGTGATGTCATGGTGACATTGTGTATGAGGAGGAAAGGGAGAGAGAGAAGGAGGAGGAAGCAGCAACGCACCTCGCCACACCCACTCTCCTCGTGTCTTTTCGCGTGAGCCGAATGAATGCAAGCGCCACAGTGAGTGATGGTGACAATGTGAATGAGGAGGAAAGGGAGAGGTAGAAGGAGGAGGAAGCAGCAACGCACCTCACCACACCCCACTCTCCTCGTGTCTTTCCATGTGAGTTGAATGAATGCGCTACAGTCCTCCCCTTGCATGCACGCCCCTGTGCCGCTGCTGTAGTGCTTGCCCTGGCGAGTCAACGGAGGTCAACAGGAGTGAACAGGGAGGAGTCAATGGGGGGTTCAACGGGGGTCAACGGGGGTCAATGAGGTCGGCATAGTCCACACAGTAGGACCTCCAGTGATCTAGACGACCTGCTTCTTCCACCACTCTCCCCATTCCTCCCAAATTCTCACCCCTCTCCTACCCACTCAACCTCCCATCGCCCCCACACTTTACACTTCCACCAACCTCCCCATCCCCCTCATCTATCCTTTTGTCGTTTTCTCTCCAGCAACCCTCTCCCTCAAACCCACGTCTTGCCTTTCTCCTCCCCCATTTCCTCCCCCTCACCCACCCAATCCTCTCATCTCATCTGCTCCACCCACGCTTCAACCGCCTCTGCAGCACTGAATAACGCCCCCCCCTTCTTCACCGCGGCCCACAGATACACCTTCCCCAGACCCGCCTCCCCCGCCACCTTAGTTGGCTTCCGGGCGGCATTGCGCGTTGGCACCTACTGAATCCGCGTGTGCTTGGGCGAAGCGGGCTAGAGCCCGGTCCCAGAGTAGAGAGGGGAGAGGGGGGAGAGGAGGGAGAGGAGCGGCATCTCCTCCCCCACGCTGAATCCGCGTATGCAGGTGTCTGATTATATTGTGTGCCACCACCCATTCTCGCATCCGTCGAATATCGTGCGTCTCAAACCCTGCCAGCCTTCTTCTTGCTTACGATTCTCCGGCTTTTACTCAAGTTTGTCGGATACAGTCACGGTTTCCGATAGAGTCACGTCTGATACAGTGCGTTGCCGTGCCGTTGTCACGCTGGGTGGTGTGCTTCTTCTGACTGAAACGGCCAATCCTTAGAAAAATCTTGGTACCCTCGTTGTGCCTGTTTGGCAAAGGAGGGAGAGAGGCGAAAACAACCTGTTTAGAGAAACGGAACAAAAAAAAATCCCCGAGACATTGCAGAAACAACCGATTTACTACAAAAATCTTCAACACATGCAGTATCGTTCTTGCTTGACTTGCCTGAATCTGCGTGGTGGTGGATCTCGTCCGTTGATTCTTCCCGCGTTCTCATGCTAACCGTCGGCTCATCAGATTCCGAGACGCGAGGGAAGGTGTGTGCATGTCTCGCTACAATGACATGAGCCAAGGAGAGGAGCAATACGGACGCTAGTAACGAGTCGCTTCTTACCGCTACACTACGAAGTGCCCGTAAAACTTCCATCCACATGAGGCACATTAGGGTTTGGTAACTGGTTGAAAACCAATTCGTGGCTGGAACGACCCGGAAAAGATAGGGAATCGGCAATCAGATAGATAAGTAGCTACAGATGTCATCGGTATTGAACCCCCAGTTGCGCATTCATCCCTAACTCTTTGAAACGCCTTAGGAACACAAGGAGATGGCTCCGTGAAGGTACTGCGTTTCGCACGGATCAACGAAATAGTCTAGAAGTTGGAAAAATGGGAGTTCAGAATCGGCAATGCCGAGGAAAACAGCATGCTTCTGCTGTTATGGCTGTGGTAGCGCTTCAAATCCAATTATGTGGGATGGACAGCTGGGAACGTGGATGGTGGGGATCGAAATTCTCCAATGTTCATCTGCAACCGTACTGTAAACCTGCGTAGGGTCTCTGAACCCTACAGAACCAGCTCTGATCATCCAAGATTAAACCGTTCAGGGAGTATTTTTATCCTCGTTATATTACGTCCGAATCCTTTTACGACGCGTCCCGGGAAGGGTACAACAAGAGCTTGGATACTTCCGCTACAATTGATCATGAATAACAAGAGGTGGAGGCCCCGTACATGGTGGATGCACAGTTGTGATTGGGAGGGGGTGATATGGGGCGTGGGATGTATCAGAATAGTAGGAGTAGGTAGGTAGTTAGGTTTAAGTGGGCCTAGGCTTAGTAGCCTAGGCTAAGGGGGTCGAGCTAGTTTGTGCCAAGGAGGGAGAGTCGAGAGATGAGAGGAGAATGGATGTTCACTATAGCACTAGGGTACATATAGCAAACAAAGAGGTGCACCACCTATAAAGTTAATATCTACACTACAGCTAGAACTACATGCAGGTATAAGAATATAATTCTGACATCCCCCCGTAACTTGCATGCAGGAATAGCTAAGTGCAGAACACAACCTGCAGGGGTACACCACAGATAGAGAAAACAGCAACAGCAGGCAAGGCAACAGAGCAGGTACAGCAGCAAAGGGGCAGGCATTCCTGCCACCCCTTTACTCTCCTTCCCCCCGCCCCCCCACCTCAGAGGGACGGCGGCTGGTTGGTCTCACACCCGCCACCCCAGTGCCACTCCCCTGGCTCCCCCATACCCTCACACCCTCCCCCCCGGCGGCAGCTGCAGCAGTGGGAACGAAAGGAGGAGGAGGGGAAGGGAAACACACCACCCATCACCCCCACACCCGCCACCCTCAGACCCTCCCCCCACGGCTGCAGGGAGATGAAGGAGGGGGGAGGGGGGCGGGGATAAAGCCGCAGAGCGGCTACAGAGGGTCGGCGCGGGTAGGGCAGGGGCGGCTGCAGCGAGTGCAGGCGCGGGGTGAGGTAGAGGCGCCGTCGCGGGCGCCAGGGGCGGGTCAGCGGCGGCTCAGGGCACCGTCGCGGGCTCCAGGGGCGGGTCCGCGGCGGCTCAGGGCACCGTCGCGGGCGCCAAGGGCGGGTCCGCGGCGGCTCAGGGCACAGTCGCGGGCGCCAGGGGCGGGTCCGCGGCGGCTCAGGGCACCGTCGCGGGCGCCAGGGGCGGGTCCGCGACGGCTCAGGGCACCGTCGCGGGCGCCAGGGGCGGGTCCGCGGCGGCTCAGGGCACCGTCGCGGGCGCCAGGGGCGGGTCCGCGGCGGCTCAGGGCACCGTCGCGGGCGCCAGGGGCGGGTCCGCGGCGGCTCAGGGCACCGTCGCGGGCTCCAGGGGCGGGTCCGCGGCGGCTCAGGGCACCGTCGCGGGCGCCAGGGGCGGGTCCGCGACGGCTCAGGGCACCGTCGCGGGCGCCAGGGGCGGGTCCGCGGCGGCTCAAGGCACCGTCGCGGGCGCCAGGGGCGGGTCCGCGGCGGCTCAGGGCACCGTCGCGGGCGCCAGGGGCGGGTCCGCGGCGGCTCAGGGCACCGTCGCGGGCTCCAGGGGCGGGTCCGCGGCGGCTCAGGGCACCGTCGCGGGCGCCAGGGGCGGGTCCGCGGCGGCTCAGGGCACCGTCGCGGGCTCCAGGGGCGGGTCCGCGGCGGCTCAGGGCACCGTCGCGGGCGCCAGGGGCGGGTCCGCGGCGGCTCAGGGCACCGTCGCGGGCGCCAGGGGCGGGTCCGCGGCGGCTCAGGGCACCGTCGCGGGTGCCAGGGGCGGGTCCGCGGCGGCTCAGGGGACCGTCGCGGGCGCCAGGGGCGGGTCCGCGGCGGCTCAGGGCACCGTCGCGGGCGCCAGGGGCGGGTCCGCGGCGGCTCAGGGCACCGTCGCGGGCGCCAGGGGCGGGTCCGCGACGGCTCAGGGCACCGTCGCGGGCGCCAGGGGCGGGTCCGCGGCGGCTCAAGGCACCGTCGCGGGCGCCAGGGGCGGGTCCGCGGCGGCTCAGGGCACCGTCGCGGGCGCCAGGGGCGGGTCCGCGACGGCTCAGGGCACCGTCGCGGGCGCCAGGGGCGGGTCCGCGGCGGCTCAGGGCACCGTCGCGGGCGCCAGGGGCAGGTCCGCGGCGGCTCAGGGCGCCGTCGCGGGCGCCAAGGGCAGGTCCGCGACGGGCAGAAAAAAACGTCACGCGCCACCCGGGCGCGGGACAGAACGAAAATCGCCACGCGCCCGAGGCGTGCGACCGGAAAAACAGCAGCGGAAGCGAGAGGCTGGCCCACAGGCCAGGACTTAACAGGCTCTAATACCATATCAGAATAGTAGGAGTAGGTAGGTAGTTAGGTTTAAGTGGGCCTAGGCTTAGTAGCCTAGGCCAAGGGGGTCGAACTAGTTTGTGCCAAGGAGGGAGAGTCGAGAGATGAGAGGAGAATGGATGTTCACTATAGCACTAGGGTACATATAGCAAACAAAGAGGTGCACCACCTATAAAGTTAATATCTACACTACATCTAGAACTACATGCAGGTATAAGAATATAATTCTGACACGATGTGATGTCTTGATGGGGCGTCTTGACTGGACGTTTTGATTGGGTATCTTGAGGGGGGTTTTTATGCGTGTTGCATTTGGCTTCTTTTTGGCAGTTTCACTTTCCTTCTAAAAAAAATGAATAGCAAGAGGTTTGCAGTGAAGTTTAGGCTTACAATACCCTTTTTGTAACTAGCGTTCTTGGTTACCGCACGGTTGAATAAGATGAAAGTATTATACCTCCCTTTTATTTCAGATAACCAGACAAACCGAGGGATTTCGTATAAACGCGTATGATACTCCCAAGGGCGGTGATCAGTGATCATCCCTCCCTGTGGTGGAGCAATAGGTACGGCCATTCATCGGCCATGCCATGGCGTCTTCCTGTTCCTTCTTATCCTCTCACGGCGATCGTTGATTGTTGATCATTGATGGTTACGTATCTCATTTCTCGCAACAGCATATCCGATTCGGCATGTCATTGATGTGTTGCGAATGAGTGGATTAGCGAGTCAGTAAACTGCTCATATATGTCGCAATTGGGAATCGTGTAACCTACTACATTGTCACTGGAATGAGTGGTGTCTGAATTAGGTCAAGCGGTTACCACGTAGCCGTCGAGACGGGCTAGAGTACGCAAGCGTCGGCGCATCTCATTCTCCTCCTATCTTCTTTCTTTCCGTGCGAACGTGAAGGACAGGCGAGCGTCGAGGCATCGTAGGAGGTGTTGCGTGCGACCGTCGCGTCGCAAGCTCGTCGCCTTCTGATTTTGTCGCGAATACGAGCACTAGCCACCGTCGAGACGACGTGAAAATCCTGAGCTTTTTGCGAGGATACGCCGGGCCGCTTTTGGACCCGTCATCGCAAACACGACTATACGCGATAATGAAATCATATAACGAGTGCCAGCTGCCGCTCTCATACAGTACTTCGGCGAAAATGGGGGTGTAAAAACGATATTTTTCGACCTCGACATAAGGAGTGATCTACATACAAGAAAATATACACGCACTGTTACTCTTTGCGTGTAGCGGCCGCCCAAAATGCCGCAATCGTCGCCGCAGCTGTACTCGCGGGTGCCGCTGACCGAGCTGAGCGTCGCTGACCTGGACACCACGGAGCTTATATCGGTTGACCTTGAATCGAGTACGAGGTGAGAGCTTATATCGGTGTGGATATTCCATCAGCTAGTTGTCAGTCCTTTTGTGAGCCATTGCATCAGCCGTTTCACCACCACCCTCACCCCACCTCATTGCTCCTCTCCTCTTCCACTACCCACATACTGAGATCCCAGTCGCCCTTCAGCAGAAGCATACTGCAGGAACCATGAAGTCGTGCTATCCATGGCATGGCATCGCATGCCAAGGAGAAAACATCGATCATTGACACTCCCAATCACCCCCTTTGCCCACCAGCCAAGGCACACTGAGTGCGCGATCGACTGTGAGCGAAGGATATGGCTCGAATGCTTATGGCTCGGAAGGGTCGGCAGCAGCGGAAAGAGGGCGGGAGGAGAGGCACGGGGATAGGCTCGGGAATCACCATCTAGAGCTGTTTGAGAGTGACAGGCTGGTGGATGCCGTTGGGGTGAAGAGGTATGCTGTGCGGTGAAGAGGTAAGCTGTGGGTTTAAGAGGTAGGCTTTGTGGTGAAGTGGCATGCAGTGAGGTGCAGATGTATGCAGGGTGGGGCGGATGAAGTGAGACCAGGCAGGCTGGGAGCATGGCTCCACTCGTTAAGTAAAATGGAAGTCAAAAGTCACAGTTTTGAAGATTATAAACCCTTTTGTTATTTTGAAGCTCTAGTGCGCCCCAGTCTTGCACCCGACGAGAATGGGTTGAAATTACGTTAAAATCTGGTGAAACTTGCGTGAAAACAGGCTGAAAATTGGGTGACCTACAGAAGTCTCAATATCTGCACTGTTCATTCCAATTCTGTCACGTGAACCCCATCTCATGCCATCCCAAACCACCTCATTCCACGCCATCCCAAACCACCTCATTCCACGCCATCCCATATCACCTCATTCCACGCAATCCCAAACCACCTCATTCCGCGCCATTTTACACCATCGCGATAACCTCGTTCCACGCCATCCCTTTTTCAACTCACCTCATTTCACCCCTTTCCACGCCATCCCATATCACCTCATTCCATGCCGTCCCATGCCAGGTACCACACACACAATTGACCATTCTGAAAGTTTTCATATCTCAAGTGCGACTACCTTTTTTCACCGTCTGCCGTGTCTGCGACTCACTCATACCGTCTGACTTCATCATACCATGCCACCACATCACACCACACTACAGGATGGGCACGGCCTTTTCCCCCAAGAGCCCCTACGACTCCGAGACTGAATCTCTGCAAGTGCATCGTGATCATGACAATGTGGGTGACGCTGGTTACACTCAAGGTTTCATTTGACGTTTCATTTGATGTCTTGAGCTCTTTTTTAAGATCTTGTTCGGGTTTTCATTTAGTGTTTCATTCAGGATTTCATGGCATGTCTTATTCGAGGCGTTGTTCGCAAGTTTTCATTTCATCCAATGCTTTAGTTCAACGAATGCTGTTCATAGATTCTCGCAGAGTTTCTTTCAAGCACCCAGCTTCCCTCCCACTTGCGTAACCGTGTGTGCTGCTCCAACCGCTCTCTTCTTCATGTACGTACCATGCTTTCTCTCCCTGTCCACCCTCACTTTCCCCTGCTCCATCCCCCCCCCTCCCACCAGGCCCCATCACAGGGCAAGCTGGGAACGCTCACAGGGGTGTACATCCATCCCGTTTGTGCAAAACACGCATGCTGTGAGTGAGAGAGGAGCCTCAGAACATATGCGTCCTCTTCTCTCCCCCTTCTCTCTCCTCGCCCTTCTCCAGGCCCCGTCACAGGGCAAGCTGGGCACGCTCACAGGGGTGTACATCCCGTGTGTGCAGAACATCCTGGGAATTATCTTCTACATCCGCCTCTCCTGGTGGGTGCTTAATGGGTGCTTGGTGGGTGCTTGGTGGGAGTTTGCTTGCTTGCTTGCCCCTCGTGGGTGGTCTTTCCCTACATTTGCCTGTCCCAGTCCCACCCACCCACCTGTGCCCTTCACAGGGGTGTTCAGATCAGGAAGGGTTGCCGTCTTTCCAGCAGACCTAGGCTCTGGTCCCTCAAGTCATGATTCCTGATGCTTCATTATTCATCTCTGTGCCCTGTGCCCTGTGCCCTGTGCCCTGTGCCCTGTGCATGGCAGGATAGTGGGCATAGCAGGGGTGAGCGGGAGCCTGATGGTCGTGGCAGTCACATGTGCCAGCACGTTCATCACAGCGCTCTCCCTCTCTGCTGTTGTTACTAACGGTGCCATGAAGGTGAGCTTATTGTGTTGCCGCTGCTGCTGCTGGTTGTGGTGCTGCTACTGCTGCTACTGCTTGCTTATGGTCGTGGCAGTCACATGTGCCAGCACGTTCATCACTGCGCTCTCCCTCTCTGCTGTCGTCACTAACGGTGCCATGAAGGTGGGTAGCTGGTGGTAGTGGTGGTGGTGGTGCTGCTGCTATTTAGGTAATGGCAATCAGATCGTCACATGTGCCAGCACGTTCATCACAGCGCTCTCCCTCTCTGCTGTTGTTACTAACGGTGCCATGAAGGTGGGTAGCTGGTGGTAGTGGTGGTGCTGCTGCTGCTATTTAGGTAATGGCAATCAGATCGTCACATGTGCCAGCACGTTCATCACAGCGCTCTCCCTCTCTGCTGTTGTGACCAACGGTGCCATGAAGGTGAAAAAGACCCATGCTCGCTCCCGTTGCCCTGTGTTCCATGCCATAGATTCTCGTGCCCTCCACTAACGCATGCCATTCCCCATGCCCCATGCCCCATGCCCCATGCCCCATGCCCCATGCCCCATGCCTAACGTCCTCGGCGCTCCGTGCCCCCCATACCCACTCCTTCTGCACCCCATGCCTCATGCGCATGCCCCATGCCCATTCCATCCATCCCCCATGGCACATGCCCCATGCCCATTCCATCCATCCCCCATGGCACATGCCCCATGCCCATCCCTCCATCCCCCATGGCACATGCCCCATGCCCATTCCATCCATCCCCCATGGCACATGCCCCATGCCCATACCATCCATCCCCCATGGCACATGCCCCATGCCCATTCCATCCATCCCCCATGGCACATGCCCCATGCCCATTCCATCCATCCCCCATGGCACATGCCCCATGCCCATTCCATCCATCCCCCATGGCACATGCCCCATGCCCATTCCATCCATCCCCCATGGCACATGCCCCATGCCCATTCCATCCATCCCCCATGGCACATGCCCCATGCCCATTCCATCCATCCCCCATGGCACATGCCCCATGCCCATTCCATCCATCCCCCATGGCACATGCCCCATGCCCATTCCATCCATCCCCCATGGCACATGCCCCATGCCCATTCCATCCATCCCCCATGGCACATGCCCCATGCCCATTCCATCCATCCCCCATGGCACATGCCCCATGCCCATTCCATCCATTCCCCATGGCACATGCCCCATGCCCATTCCATCCATCCCCCATGGCACATGCCCCATGCCCATTCCATCCATCCCCCATGGCACATGCCCCATGCCCATTCCATCCATCCGCCATGGCACATGCCCCATGCCCATTCCATCCATCCCCCATGGCACATGCCCCATGCCCATCCCTCCATCTCCCATGGCACACGCCCCATGCCCATTCCATCCATCCCCCATGGCACATGCCCCATGCCCATTCCATCCATCCCCCATGGCACATGCCCCATGCCCATCCCTCCATCCCCCATGGCACATGCCCCATGCCCATTCCATCCATCCCCCATGGCACATGCCCCATGCCCATTCCATCCATCCCCCATGGCACATGCCCCATGCCCATCCCTCCATCCCCCATGGCACATGCCCCATGCCCATTCCATCCATCCCCCATGGCACATGCCCCATGCCCATTCCATCCATCCCCCATGGCACATGCCCCATGCCCATTCCATCCATCCCCCATGGCACATGCCCCATGCCCATTCCATCCATCCCCCATGGCACATGCCCCATGCCCATTCCATCCATCCCCCATGGCACATGCCCCATGCCCATTCCATCCATCCCCCATGGCACATGCCCCATGCCCATTCCATCCATCCCCCATGGCACATGCCCCATGCCCATTCCATCCATCCCCCATGGCACATGCCCCATGCCCATTCCATCCATCCCCCATGGCACATGCCCCATGCCCATTCCATCCATCCCCCATGGCACATGCCCCATGCCCATTCCATCCATCCCCCATGGCACATGCCCCATGCCCATTCCATCCATCCCCCATGGCACATGCCCCATGCCCATTCCATCCATTCCCCATGGCACATGCCCCATGCCCATTCCATCCATCCCCCATGGCACATGCCCCATGCCCATTCCATCCATCCCCCATGGCACATGCCCCATGCCCATTCCATCCATCCGCCATGGCACATGCCCCATGCCCATTCCATCCATCCCCCATGGCACATGCCCCATGCCCATCCCTCCATCTCCCATGGCACACGCCCCATGCCCATTCTATCCATCCCCCATGGCACATGCCCCATGCCCATTCCATCCATCCCCCATGGCACATGCCCCATGCCCATCCCTCCATCCCCCATGGCACATGCCCCATGCCCATTCCATCCATCCCCCATGGCACATGCCCCATGCCCATTCCATCCATCCCCCATGGCACATGCCCCATGCCCATTCCATCCATCCCCCATGGCACATGCCCCATGCCCATCCCTCCATCCCCCATGGCACATGCCCCATGCCCATTCCATCCATCCCCCATGGCACATGCCCCATGCCCATTCCATCCATCCCCCATGGCACATGCCCCATGCCCATCCCTCCATCCCCCATGGCACATGCCCCATGCCCATTCCATCCATCCCCCATGGCACATGCCCCATGCCCATTCCATCCATCCCCCATGGCACATGCCCCATGCCCATCCCTCCATCTCCCATGGCACATGCCCCATGCCCATTCCATCCATCCCCCATGGCACATGCCCCATGCCCATTCCATCCATCCCCCATGGCACATGCCCCATGCCCATTCCATCCATCCCCCATGGCACATGCCCTATGCCCATCCCTCCATCCCCCATGGCACATGCCCCATGCCCATTCCATCCATCCCCCATGGCACATGCCCCATGCCCATTCCATCCATCCCCCATGGCACATGCCCCATGCCCATTCCATCCATCCCCCATGGCACATGCCCCATGCCCATTCCATCCATCCCCCATGGCACATGCCCCATGCCCATTCAATCCATCCCCCATGGCACATGCCCCATGCCCATTCCATCCATCCGCCATGGCACATGCCCCATGCCCATTCCATCCATCCCCCATGGCACATGCCCCATGCCCATTCCATCCATCCCCCATGGCACATGCCCCATGCCCATTCCATCCATCCCCCATGGCACATGCCCCATGCCCATTCCATCCATCCCCCATGGCACATGCCCCATGCCCATTCCATCCATCCCCCATGGCACATGCCCCATGCCCATTCCATCCATCCCCCATGGCACATGCCCCATGCCCATTCCATCCATCCCCCATGGCACATGCCCCATGCCCATTCCATCCATCCCCCATGGCACATGCCCCATGCCCATTCCATCCATCCCCCATGGCACATGCCCCATGCCCATTCCATCCATCCCCCATGGCACATGCCCCATGCCCATTCCATCCATCCCCCATGGCACATGCCCCATGCCCATTCCATCCATCCCCCATGGCACATGCCCCATGCCCATTCCATCCATCCGCCATGGCACATGCCCCATGCCCATTCCATCCATCCTCCATGGCACATGCCCCATGCCCATTCCATCCATCCCCCATGGCACATGCCCCATGCCCATTCCATCCATCCCCCATGGCACATGCCCCATGCCCATTCCATCCATCCCCCATGGCACATGCCCCATGCCCATTCCATCCATCCCCCATGGCACATGCCCCATGCCCATTCCATCCATCCCCCATGGCACATGCCCCATGCCCATTCCATCCATCCCCCATGGCACATGCCCCATGCCCATTCCATCCATCCCCCATGGCACATGCCCCATGCCCATTCCATCCATCCCCCATGGCACATGCCCCATGCCCATTCCATCCATCCCCCATGGCACATGCCCCATGCCCATTCCATCCATCCGCCATGGCACATGCCCCATGCCCATTCCATCCATCCTCCATGGCACATGCCCCATGCCCATTCCATCCATCCCCCATGGCACATGCCCCATGCCCATTCCATCCATCCCCCATGGCACATGCCCCATGCCCATTCCATCCATCCCCCATGGCACATGCCCCATGCCCATTCCATCCATCCCCCATGGCACATGCCCCATGCCCATTCCATCCATCCCCCATGGCACATGCCCCATGCCCATTCCATCCATCCCCCATGGCACATGCCCCATGCCCATTCCATCCATCCCCCATGGCACATGCCCCATGCCCATTCCATCCATCCCCCATGGCACATGCCCCATGCCCATTCCATCCATCCCCCATGGCACATGCCCCATGCCCATTCCATCCATCCCCCATGGCACATGCCCCATGCCCATTCCATCCATCCCCCATGGCACATGCCCCATGCCCATTCCATCCATCCCCCATGGCACATGCCCCATGGCACATGCCCCATGCCGATTCCATCCATCCCCCATGGCACATGCCCCATGCCCATTCCATCCATCCCCCATGGCACATGCCCCATGCCCATTCCATCCATCCCCCATGGCACATGCCCCATGCCCATTCCATCCATTCCCCATGGCACATGCCCCATGCCCATTCCATCCATCCCCCATGGCACATGCCCCATGCCCATTCCATCCATCCCCCATGGCACATGCCCCATGCCCATTCCATCCATCCGCCATGGCACATGCCCCATGCCCATTCCATCCATCCCCCATGGCACATGCCCCATGCCCATTCCATCCATCCCCCATGGCACATGCCCCATGCCCATTCCATCCATCCCCCATGGCACATGCCCCATGCCCATTCCATCCATCCCCCATGGCACATGCCCCATGCCGATTCCATCCATCCCCCATGGCACATGCCCCATGCCCATTCCATCCATCCCCCATGGCACATGCCCCATGCCCATTCCATCCATCCCCCATGGCACATGCCCCATGCCCATTCCATCCATCCCCCATGGCACATGCCCCATGCCCATTCCATCCATCCCCCATGGCACATGCCCCATGCCCATTCCATCCATCCCCCATGGCACATGCCCCATGCCCATTCCATCCATCCCCCATGGCACATGCCCCATGCCCATTCCATCCATCCCCCATGGCACATGCCCCATGCCCATTCCATCCATCCCCCATGGCACATGCCCCATGCCCATTCCATCCATCCCCCATGGCACATGCCCCATGCCCATCCCTCCATCCCCCATGGCACATGCCCCATGCCCATTCCATCCATCCCCCATGGCACATGCCCCATGCCCATTCCATCCATCCCCCATGGCACATGCCCCATGCCCATTCCATCCATCCCCCATGGCACATGCCCCATGCCCATTCCATCCATCCCCCATGGCACATGCCCCATGCCCATTCCATCCATCCCCCATGGCACATGCCCCATGCCCATTCCATCCATCCCCCATGGCACATGCCCCATGCCCATCCCTCCATCCCCCATGGCACATGCCCCATGCCCATTCCATCCATCCCCCATGGCACATGCCCCATGCCCATTCCATCCATCCCCCATGGCACATGCCCCATGCCCATTCCATCCATCCCCCATGGCACATGCCCCATGCCCATTCCATCCATCCCCCATGGCACATGCCCCATGCCCATTCCATCCATCCCCCATGGCACATGCCCCATGCCGATTCCATCCATCCCCCATGGCACATGCCCCATGCCCATTCCATCCATCCCCCATGGCACATGCCCCATGCCCATTCCATCCATCCCCCATGGCACATGCCCCATGCCTTGAACCCAGCAGGGCGGAGGTCCTTACCTTACTGTCTCATCAGCCGTGCAGTGGGCCCCGAAGCGGGGGTCAGCATCGGCCCATGGTTCTTCCATACCTTCCGCACCCCATGCCCCGTGCCCTTATTCCCTCCCTCCTCCCTCGAACCCACCAGGGCGGAGGGCCCTACTACCTCATTGGACGTGGGGTCAGCAACACCTTCTGCTTCTTCCATTATTTCACCTAGTCCCACATCTGATTCCTCCTTGCCCCATGGGCCCATGCACGTCATGCCCCACCATGTGTTGAACCCACCAGGGCGGAGGTCCATATTACCTGATTGGCCGTGCCTTGGGGCCCGAAGTGGGGGTCAGCATCGGCCTCTGCTTCTTCTTTGGCAACGCAATTGGTGGATCGCTGTGAGTCAAACGAAGTCAATGAAGTCAACGGGGTCAATAGGAACAGAGGAGTCACTGGGGCAAGTGGAGCTGTCAATAGGGTCAAAGTCACAATGGAGTCAATGAAGTCAACGGGGTCAGCATCATCGGCCTCTGCTTCTTCTTTGGCAACGCCATTGGTGGATCGCTGTGAGTCAACTGGAGTCAAGTCAATGAAGTCGATGGGGTCAATGGGTCAATGGCAAGGAGTCACCAGGGTCAGCATTGGCCTCTGCTTCTTCTTTGGGAATGCCATTGGAGGATCGCTGTGAGTCAGCCAAAGTCAACGAAGTCAATGAAGCGAATGGGGTCAGTCGATGGGGTCAGCATCGGCCTCTGCTTCTCCTTTGGCAATGCCATTGGTGGATTGCTGCGAGTCAAACAGAGTCAATAAAGTCAACAGGATCGTTTGGAGCAGTCTGCAGGCGTCAGAAGCTGTTCTGGACGCTTGGCCTCAATCAGTCTCTTCCCAGATCTGTTCCCCCTACCTCGTGTCAATCCCTCCCTCTCTCCCCTCCCCACTTCTCCCCTCAACCCCTCCCTCCTCACCCTGACAGCTACATTCTGGGGGCGGTGGAAACTCTACTCGACGCCATGCCTCAAACAGCACTCTTCCCACCTTCGTTCCGTTTCTATCCTGTCCCTCCGTCCCTCTTTCCCCTCTCCTCTTGTCCCTCTCCCCCATTCACTCCCTCACAGCTACATTCTGGGGGCGGTGGAAACGCTTCTCGACGCCATGCCTCAAATGGCTCTCTTCCCTCGTGCGTTCCCTGCTACCCTCCTTTCACACTTTCCCTGGCCTGAAATTAACATGTGGCATACCATGTTGTCATGCATGTGGCATGTCACGTGGCATGTCATGCGCCTGCCTGGCCATGTCATACGCCATATGATATGCCATGTCATATGCCATGTCGTGTCATGGTGACAACAGGTGATGTCTATGTGGTGATGTCAACAGTGATTTGAGGCACCTCAGAAGAGCACATGCATGCTGATCAGACGCCTCACCTCCCCCCTCTCCTTTTGAGGCACCTCAAAAGCTGATCACATGCATGCTGATAAGATGCCTTACCTCCCACCACTCCCCGTCTCCTTTTGAGGCGCCTGAAAAGTAGACACCTCAGACGAGCACATGCATGGTGATCAGATGCATGCCCTACCTTCCACCACTCCTCCTTTCCTCCCTCCCTTGGCCTTCCCCCTCTCCCCCTTCCCCCCCCAATCACTCTTCCAGCTCAAGCCATGACAGTGACGGTGCAGGCAGCAGTGAACGCAACTGAAGCAGCCATCAATGGCACCATGGCTGCTGCACCAGTAGCAGCAGAAACGGTGCTGTCAGTGTCGAGACACGACATGCAGGTGGGCGTGTGTGAGAGCAGCAGGTAGGGAGAAGGTGGGCACGTGTGAGGGCAGCAGATGAGCAGCAGGTAGGGAGCAGGTGGGCATGTGTGAGAGCAGCAGGTGAGCAGCAGGTGAGCAGCAGGTGAGCAGCAGGTGGGAAGCAGGTGGGCAGCAGGTGAGCAGCAGGTGAGCAGCAGGTGAGCAGCAGGTGAGCAGCAGGTGAGCAGCAGGTGAGCAGCAGGTGAGCAGCAGGTGAGCAGCAGGTGAGCAGCAGGTGGGCAGCAGGTGGGCAGCAGGTGGGCAGCAGGTGGGCAGCAGGTGGGCAGCAGGTGGGCAGCAGGTGGGCGTGGTACACATGGTGCAACGCAGGGCATTCCCTTTCCTCTGTCTGCCCCTGTCCCACCAGGCATACGGCATCATCACCACCATCTGCCTCTGCCTCATCGTCTTCGAAGGAGTGCATCTGATGATGATAACTGTTCTTCTCTCTGTGCGCCCCCCTCTCCCCCCCACCCACCTGTCACACCAGGCATACGGCGTCATCACCACCATCTGCCTCTGCCTCATCGTCTTCGGAGGAGTGCACCTGGTGATGATAGCTGTTCTTCTCTCTGTGCGCCCCCCTCTCCCCCCCACCCACCCTGTCCCACCAGGCATACGGCATCATCATCATCACCACCATCTGCCTCTGCCTCGTCGTCTTCGGAGGAGTGCACCTGATGATGATAGCTGTTCTTCTCTCTGTGCGCCCCCCTCTCCCCCCCACCCACCCTGTCACACCAGGCATACGGCATCATCACCACCATCTGCCTCTGCCTCATAGTGTTCGGAGGAGTGCATCTGGTGGACCGAGTGGGATCGCTCTTCATCATCCCGGCCGTGCTCGCTGTCATCTCCGTCTTCATCGGCATCTTCCTCTCTCCAGACAATGAGTCGCCAGGTGTGTGCAATGCACTGGGCACCGGCTTGATGAGGCACCAGCCGGGTGGCCTGTTCCCTCTTCATCATCCCCACTGTCCTCGCTGTCATCTCCGTGCTCGTCATGGTCCGAATGGGGACAAGACGCACCAGACGAACCAGGCGTCATGGTCTGGATGGCATCTGATTATGACGAACCAGACGCCGACGCACCAGGTGCGCCTTTTGAACCTGCTTGAAGAACCCTCTGCATCACCAAGTGTCTCTCGCACTCGTTCTTTTCCTCTCTCTCTCTTGCACTCCCAACCAACGCTCTCATCTGCCAACCCCCTTCCACTCTGAACGTTCTTGCCTCTCTCTCACTCTCTCACTCCCACCTCCCGGCAGCTGGCTTGACTGGTCTCAGCACCACCACCCTCTTCGCCAACTGGTTACCAAGTTACCAGACCAACTCCTATGGCATTCCCTACCCCTTGCTGCTCCCTATCCCCCTCCATTCCGATCCGGGCAGCTGGTTTGACTGGTCTCAGCACCACCACTCTCTTCGCCAACTGGTTACCAAGTTACCAGACCACCAACTCCAATGGCATACCCGACCCTAACGGCTCTTTCTACTGGGGCTTTAAGTACGTCTGTCGTTCCACTGGGCAGGTGGCTCACTTTGTTTCCTCATCGAGTTCGTTCGCATATTCGCATCACATTTTCACAGCACGTGTCTTTATTACACATCACGAGTATTCGCCTCACATCACGAATACTTGCCTCACATCACGAATACGCGCCTCACATCACGAATTCTTGCCTCACATCACGAATACTCGCCTCACATCACGAATTCTCGCCTCACATCACGAATACTCGCCTCACATCTCGAATACTCGCCTCACATCACGAATACTCGCCTCACATCCCGAATTCTCGCCTCACATCACGAACACTCGCCTCACATCACAAATACTCGCCTCACATCACGAATACTCGCCTCACATCACGAATACTCGCCTCACATCACGAATACTCGCCTCACATCACGAATACTCGCCTCACATCACGAATACTCGCCTCGCATCACGAATGCTCGCCTCACATCACGAATACTCGCCTCACATCACGAATACTCGCCTCACATCACGAATACGCGCCTCACATCACGAATTCTTGCCTCACATCACGAATACTCGCCTCACATCACAAATACTCGCCTCACATCACGAATTCTCGCCTCACATCACGAATACTCGCCTCACATCTCGAATACTCGCCTCACATCACGAATACTCGCCTCACATCACGAATACTCGCCTCACATCACGAACACTCGCCTCACATCACGATTACTCGCCTCACATCACGAATTCTCGCCTCACATCACGAATACTCGCCTCATATCACGAATACTCGCCTCACATCACGAATACTTGCCTCACATCACGAATACTCGCCTCACATCACGAATACTCGCCTCACATCACGAATTCTCGCCTCACATCACGAATACTCGCCTCACATCACGAATACTTGCCTCACATCACGATTACTCGCCTCACATCACGAATACTCGCCTCACATCACGAATACTCGCCTCACATCACGATTACTCGCCTCACATCACAAATACTCGCCTCACATCACGAATACTCGCCTCACATCACGAATTCTTACCTCACATCACGAATACTCGCCTCACATCACGAATACTCGCCTCACATCACGAATACTCGCCTCACATCACGAATACTCGCCTCGCATCACGAATACTCGCCTCACATCACGAATACTCGCCTCACATCACGAATACTCGCCTCACATCACGAATACGCGCCTCACATCACGAATTCTTGCCTCACATCACGAATACTCGCCTCACATCACAAATACTCGCCTCACATCACGAATTCTCGCCTCACATCACGAATACTCGCCTCACATCTCGAATACTCGCCTCACATCACGAATACTCGCCTCACATCACGAATACTCGCCTCACATCACGAACACTCGCCTCACATCACGATTACTCGCCTCACATCACGAATTCTCGCCTCACATCACGAATACTCGCCTCACATCACGAATACTCGCCTCATATCACGAATACTCGCCTCACATCACGAATACTTGCCTCACATCACGAATACTCGCCTCACATCACGAATACTCGCCTCACATCACGAATTCTCGCCTCACATCACGAATACTCGCCTCACATCTCGAATACTCGCCTCACATCACGAATACTCGCCTCACATCACGAATACTCGCCTCACATCACGAACACTCGCCTCACATCACGATTACTCGCCTCACATCACGAATTCTCGCCTCACATCACGAATACTCGCCTCATATCACGAATACTCGCCTCACATCACGAATACTTGCCTCACATCACGAATACTCGCCTCACATCACGAATACTCGCCTCACATCACGAATTCTCGCCTCACATCACGAATACTCGCCTCACATCACGAATACTTGCCTCACATCACGATTACTCGCCTCACATCACGAATACTCGCCTCACATCACGAATACTCGCCTCACATCACGATTACTCGCCTCACATCACAAATACTCGCCTCACATCACGAATACTCGCCTCACATCACGAATTCTTACCTCACATCACGAATACTCGCCTCACATCACGAATACTCGCCTCACATCACGAATACTCGCCTCACATCACGAATACTCGCCTCGCATCACGAATACTCGCCTCACATCACGAATACTCGCCTCACATCACGAATACTCGCCTCACATCACGAATACGCGCCTCACATCACGAATTCTTGCCTCACATCACGAATACTCGCCTCACATCACAAATACTCGCCTCACATCACGAATTCTCGCCTCACATCACGAATACTCGCCTCACATCTCGAATACTCGCCTCACATCACGAATACTCGCCTCACATCACGAATACTCGCCTCACATCACGAACACTCGCCTCACATCACGATTACTCGCCTCACATCACGAATTCTCGCCTCACATCACGAATACTCGCCTCATATCACGAATACTCGCCTCACATCACGAATACTTGCCTCACATCACGAATACTCGCCTCACATCACGAATACTCGCCTCACATCACGAATTCTCGCCTCACATCACGAATACTCGCCTCACATCACGAATACTTGCCTCACATCACGATTACTCGCCTCACATCACGAATACTCGCCTCACATCACGAATACTCGCCTCACATCACGATTACTCGCCTCACATCACAAATACTCGCCTCACATCACGAATACTCGCCTCACATCACGAATTCTTACCTCACATCACGAATACTCGCCTCACATCACGAATACTCGCCTCACATCACGAATATTCGCCTCACATCACGAATACTCGCCTCACATCCCGAATTCTCGCCTCACATCACGAACACTCGCCTCACATCACGAATACTCGCCTCACATCACGAATACTCGCCTCACATCACGAATACTCGCCTCACATCACGAATACTCGCCTCACATCACGAATACTCGCCTCACATCACAAATACTCGCCTCACATAACGAATATTCGCCTCACATCACGAATACTCGCCTCACATCACGAATACTCGCCTCACATCACGAATACTTGCCTCACATCACGAATACTCGCCTCACATCACGAATACTCGCCTCACATCACGAATACTTGCCTCACATCACGAATACTCGCCTCACATCACGAATACTCGCCTCACATCACGATTACTCGCCTCACATCACAAATACTCGCCTCACATCACGAATACTCGCCTCACATCACGAATTCTTACCTCACATCACGAATACTCGCCTCACATCACGAATACTCGCCTCACATCACGAATATTCGCCTCACATCACGATTACTCGCCTCACATCACAAATACTCGCCTCACATCACGAATCTCGCCTCACATCTCGAATTCTTACCTCAAATCATGAATACTTGCCTCACATCACGAATACTCCCGTCGCATTGCAAATACTCGCCTCACTTCACGAACACTCCTCCGCCAATGCTCTTCCACACCCAACCCCACCCAACCGTACCCATCCATACCCTAACCCCCTCCCACAGCCAGCTGCTGTGGCTCTTCTACCCGGGAGTGACAGGCATCATGGACGGATCCAACTGCTCAGAGGCACTGCGGGATGGATTAATCCTAATCCTTCTACATACTCCCGTACCCTTCTGTACCCTGTCATACCCCCACCCACAGCCAGCTGCTGTGGCTCTTCTACCCTGGTGTGACGGGCATCATGGTGGGGTCTAACTGCTCAGAGGCTCTGAGGGACACAGTAGAGCTTAACCTTCAGCCGTGCTCTTACTCTTCCACCGTCCACGCCCTACCCTACCCTACCCATCCGTACCCATCCATACCCATCTCTCCCACAGCCAGCTGCTGGGCCTCTTCTATCCGGGAGTGACGGGCATCATGGCCGGATCCAACCGCTCAGAGGCGCTGAGGGACACTCAGCGGTCCATCCCCCTACCCTTCCCAATGCGCATTCCTTACCCCATCCCAACCACAGCCAGCTGCTGGGGCTCTTCTATCCCACAGACAGCATAGCGCCTCCTCCTCCTTCTCTCTCCTCCCGCTCTCTTATTCCTCACAGCCAGCTGCTGGGGCTCTTCTATCCCACAGACAGCATAGCGCCTCCTCCTCCTTCTCTCTCCTCCCGCTCTCTTATTCCTCACAGCCAGCTGCTGGGGCTCTTCTATCCCACAGACAGCATAGCGCCTCCTCCTCCTTCTCTCTCCTCCCGCTCTCTTATTCCTCACAGCCAGCTGCTGGGGCTCTTCTATCCGGGTGTGACGGGCATCATGGCGGGATCCCACCGCTCAGAGGCTCTGCGGGGACACATGCGGCCTCATCTCTCTCCTGTCAGCTCATGCTCTTTCCGACTCTACCCTACCCTACCCTACCCTACCCGTCCATACCCTTCTGTACCGTACCTACCACAGCCAGCTGCTGGGGCTGTTTTACCCGGGAGTGACGGGCATCATGGCGGGATCCAACCGCTCTGAGGCGCTGAGGGACACACAGCGGTCCATCCCCACGGGGACCCTGGCAGCCATTGTCTCAATGACTGGTCTCTATGTGGTCTCCATTCTGCTGTTTGGCGCTGTTGCCACCAGGGACCTGCTTGTCACTGACAGGTAAGGAGAGGACAGGTTGGTTGAGAGCAGTGGAGATGGGTGCGACTTTTCGCATGGTTGGTCGGTCCATCAACGCTGGCACCCATTGTATCAAAGATTGCGCTCTATGTGGGCTCCAACCTGCTGTTTGGCGCTGTTGCCACTAGGGATTTGCTTGTTACTGACAGGTGGGTTAGGAGCGGTGGGGATGGGTGTGTGAGTGAGCGCATACCATCAGTTCATCCATCCATCCCTGCGGGCACTCACTCTGGCAGCCATTGTCTCAATGACTGGTCTCTATGTGGTCTCCATTCTGCTGTTTGGCGCCGTTGCCACCAGGGACCTGCTTGTGACTGACAGGTAAGGCGGGTGCACATGGGTTGAGAACGGTGGAAATGGGTGTGTGTCACCAGTCCGCTCATACTCGGTCGGTCCATACCCATGGGCTCTCTCTCTAACGGCCATCGTGTCAATGACTGCGCTCCATGATGTGGGCTCCATGCTGCTGTTTGGCGCCATTGCTTGCCACCAGGGACCTGCTTGTGACCAGCAGGTGAGTGGGTTGAGAGCGGTGGAGATGGGTGTGAGAGTCGCCTGATACTCGGTCCATCCGTACGGGCACTCTAGCCGCTATCGTGTCAATGGCTGCGCTCTATGATGTGGGATCCATCCTGCTGTTTTGTGCTGTTGCTTACCACCAGGGACCTGCTTGTCACTGACAGGTGGGTCAAGAGCGGTGGGGATGGGTGCGAGTCGGCAGTCGCATCATACTCGATGGTCCATCCCCACGAGCACTCACCCATCATCTGTCCCTCTCTCCGTTCCCCCTATCTGGCTCCTCACTGTCACATCTCTCTCTTCCTTAGTGGGAATATACGCTTATAGCGTATATACGCGTATCGTATATACGCTAACGTATATACGCTAAACGCTTAAGGGTCGATTTGGTAATACGCTTTTTCGGGCAGGTAAAATACTATCCCGGGCAGGGTGAAAAAAACGTCGTGCTCAAGATTAAGAAGGTGATCCCTATTCTCATTTAGACTTTCGTAGCATTTCCCTAAGTCTGAACGGCGATTGGGGTGGGATGTGGAGTAGACACTAAAAGGAGAAGTAGGTAGGAATCGGAAGGAGCTCTGCTGTTAGAAAGCGGGAATGCCAACTAGAAATGACGACTGGAATTTTGCTGGCTGGTAAGTAGCGTGAGTGGGGTTTGGTGGGGGACGTTTTTGACAGGTTGGAATTCGTAGATAATATGGGTTCCAATGCGGTACCAATCTAATGTTCAAATTTGAACTGCCTGCAACTTCGAAGGCCCACTCCCGCTTCCCTAGACCGTCAAATTGCATTTCGACTTAGGCGAAATGCTCAGCAGAAGATTCCGCATCTTTCTGTATACAAGCGATTTTTTTCCCTGGGCAGCCCGAAAAATTTTCTGATACCGTATAGCGTATTAGCTAGCGTATTGCGTTTTGCGTACACACGCTAGCGTGTATACGCTATACGCTTTAGGGTTTGAGCGTATATTCCCACTAAGCTCTCTTCCCTTGCCAAGTTATGAAACGCCTCAAACCTCTTCAGACCTCTTCACCCCACTTCGCCCCTCTGTCCCTCTTCCTCCCTTCCCTCATCAGGCTTCTCACTGCCACGATTGCGTGGCCCGTGCCAGCTGTCGTCCAGGTGGGTGAGCTGTCGTCCAGGTGGGTGCCAGCTGCCGTCCAGGTGGGTGAGCTGTCGTCCAGGTGGGTGCCAGCTGCCGTCCAGGTGGGTGAGCTGTCGTCCAGGTGGGTGCCAGCTGTCGTCCAGGTGGGTGCCAGCTGCCGAACAATCGTGACCTTCGCTGCTCGTATGTCGTTTCGAGGTTTCGTTTTGTTAATCTCTTATAGTATGTTTGAGATTCTTGCTTTCTGGCGAAACTGTCAACACAGGCGACTATTGAGGCGCCTCAAAAGAGGTTTCGTTTTGTTAATCTCTTATAGTATGTTTGAGATTCTTGCTTTCTGGCGCAACTGTCAACACAGGGAGCACCCCATCGCAACCCCACACACCAATTTCAGGTGGGCATTGTGCTATCAACGCTGGGAGCAGCACTGCAGAACCTCATGGGGGCGCCGCGGCTGGTGGCAGCAACCCATCCCCCTCCTCGCCCACTGCTCCCCCCTCTCACCTGTACCTCTTCCTTCAGGTGGGCATCGTCCTCTCAACGCTGGGAGCAGCACTGCAGAACCTCAGGGGAGCGCCACGGCTGCTGGCTGCCCTGCCCATAGCTCCTTCCCCTTGTCCCTGCCCCTCCCTCCTCGCCTCTCCCCTCTTCCTTCAGGTGGGCATCGTCCTCTCAACGCTGGGTGCAGCGCTGCAGAACCTCATGGGAGCGCCCCGGCTGCTGGCGGCGATAGCGAATGACAACGTGCTGCCGGTGCTGAATGCATTCAAGGCAGAGAGCCACCAGGAGCCGCATCTCGCCACGCTCTTCACGCTTCTCTTGTGCTGCAGGTGCTGCTTTTGTGCTGGTGTTGCTGGTATTTTTACTGGTATTTCTGCTGTTTCTGGTCTGGTAGTGTTGGTAGTGCACTGCTGGTAGTGCTGGTTGCAGGCGGTGCTGCCGGTGCTGAATGCGTTCAAGGCAGAGAGCCATCAGGAGCCGCATTTAGCCACGCTCTTCACGCTGCTGCTCTGCTGCAGGTGCCGAAGCTGGTGTTGGTATTGCTCTTGCACTGCTGTATGTCTTGCCGCCAGAGGCATTACTGCTGGTATTTCTGCTGGTATTGCTGCTGCTGGTGGTGCTGCCGGTGCTGCACGCAATCAAGGCAGAGAGCCACCAGGAGCCGCGTCTGGCCACACTCTTCACACTGCTCCTCTGCTGCAGGTGCTGCTGCTTGTGTTTCTGGTAGTGTGGGTAGTGCACTGCTGACAGTGCTGGTTCTTACTGCCTGTCCTTCCTCCTCTCCCACTGCCTGTTCTTCCTCCTCTCCCACTGCCTGTTCTTCCTCCTCTCCCACTGCCGGTTCTTCCCCTCCCACCATGCACATGTGCATCCTCATCTTCTCCTGTTGCTTGTCCCACCCACCCACCATCACCCTGTTGCGCGCGCACTGCAATGCAGCTTTGTGCTGATAGGAGACGAGGACTACGTGTCGTGTCGGCCATCATGACCCTGTTCTTCCTCCTCTGCCATTCTTGTGCACACACCTTTCACCCTCTCTTTCATCTCCTTGTTGCCTGCAAGCAATGCAGCTGTGTGCTGATACGAGACGAGGCTTACGTATCGCTCATCATCACCGTGTTCTTCCTCCTCCTCTGCTGCTGCTGCTGCATGCATACATGTTTCGCTCCCGCAAAGCACCATGCTTCCCTCAACCCTCTCTGTTCACTGCAGCTTCGTGTTGATAGGGGACGTGGACTACGTATCGCCTGTCGTCACCGTGTTCTTCCTCCGCTACTCTTTGTGCACGAACACACACCCCTAAACCCGAAACCCCTCCCATCACAGCTTTGTGCTGATAGGAAACGGGACTATGTATTGCCAGTCATCACCCTGTTCTTCCTCCTCTGCCATTCTTGTGCACACACCTCTCACCCTCTCTTTCATCACCCTGTTGCCTGCAATGCATCTTTGTGTTGATAGGGGACGTGGACTGCGTGTCGCCTGTCATCACCGTGTTCTTCCTCCGCTGCTACTGGATTCTCTTCCACAAGGCTCATCCTCTGCCACTGTTTGCACGTCCCCCCTCATCTCACCCCACAGCTTTGTGCTGATAGGAGACGTGGACTACGTGTCGCCAGTCATCACCATGTTCTTCCTGCTCTGCTACTGCGGGGTCAACCTCTCCTGTGCTCTCCTCGACCTCGTTGACGCCCCCTCCTGGCGCCCGCGCTGGCGCTGGCACCACTGGCTCGTGTCACTCGCAGGGGCTCTCCTCTGTCTTGGTACGTTCCTCCACTCCCACCCACGCACACTCCCACTTCCATTACCTCATCACATCAACACGTTCCTGGCGCCCCCACCCCCACCTCCTCCACCTCGTAGACGCCCCCTCCTGGCGCCCGCGCTGGCGCTGGCACCACTGGCTCGACTCCCTCGCTGGCGCCCTCCTTTGCCTGGGTAAGTGCGTGCGTGCCTGCGAGGAGGAGCCAGTGGTACCCACTGGTGGGTAAGTGCGTGCCTGCTCTCCTACCTGCATCGCCTCTTCCAACCCACCCTCTCCTTGTCATCACTCTGTGCTCTCCTCGACCTTGTTAATGCCCCCGCTGCTGCTGCCACCACTGGCTAGAACCCCTCACTGCAGCCGGACTCTGCCTCAGTAAGTTCCCGCACTCCAAAGCTGCAGGGTGTTTTTGAGAATTCTCAAAAACACCCTGCAGCACACTGGTGCGGGCACGACTGGCTAGAACCCCTCGCTGCAGCCCTACTCGCCCTCAGTAAGTTCTCGCTCTCCAACGTCCTCTCCTCTCCCTACATTACACAGCCCCACCTGTATCTTGACTGTTCCCCTTCCACTGCCTCATACGCCCCCTTCCTGGCGCCCGCACTGGCGTTGGCGCGACTGGCTCGTCACCTTTGCAGGAGGTCTTTGAGGCGCCTCAAAAACCACCTCGTTGGCGCGACTGGCTCGTCACTTTTGCAGGAGCGCTTCTCTGTGCCCATTGAGCCGACTCAAAACTCACCAGGAGCGCTTCTCTGTGCCCATTGAGCCGACTCAAAACTCACCAGGAGCGCTTCTCTGTGCCCATTGAGCCGACTCAAAACTCACCAGGAGCGCTTCTCTGTGCCCATTGAGCCGACTCAAAACTCACCAGGAGCGCTTCTCTGTGCCCATTGAGCCGACTCAGAACTCACCAGGAGCGCTTCTCTGTGCCCATTGAGCCGACTCAAAACTCACCAGGAGCGCTTCTCTGTGCCCATTGAGCCGACTCAAAACTCACCAGGAGCGCTTCTCTGTGCCCATTGAGCCGACTCAAAACTCACCAGGAGCGCTTCTCTGTGCCCATTGAGCCGACTCAAAACTCACCAGGAGCGCTTCTCTGTGCCCATTGAGCCGACTCAAGACTCACCAGGAGCGCTTCTCTGTGCCCATTGAGCCGACTCAAAACTCACCAGGAGCGCTTCTCTGTGCCCATTGAGCCGACTCAAAACTCACCAGGAGCGCTTCTCTGTGCCCATTGAGCGACTCAGCACCACACCCTCATCCACTCTCTCTCCCCGAACCCCCGCCATCCTCTCTCCCCCCACCCCGTTCTTCCCCTTTCCCCAGCCATCATGTATCTCTGCTCCTGGCTCTTCACCCTCGACTGTCTCACCCTAGCATTGAGTCTTCCCTAACCCCATTCTTTCCCCCCTCCACCCCCTCCCCAACCCAGTCATCATGTATCTAATCTCCTGGTTCTTCACGCTCGTCTGTCTCACCCTAGCCGTCCTCATCTACATCTACGTCAGCATGGTGGGCAAGGCGGGCGACTGGGGCGACGGGGTCAAGTCGGCCTACATGCAGCTCGCGCTGCGCTCGCTGCACTTCCTGGGAGGTAAGCGTCTGATTTGGAGCGTCTACCCTGCTTGCCTCCGTCACCCTCTCTGCTCTCTGCTCCGTGCGACACACTCTCTGACATTAGACTGGGGCGACGGGGTCAAGTAAGCCTACATGCAGCTCGCCCTGCGCTCGCTGCACTTCCTGGGAGGTAAGCGTCTGATTTGGAGCGTCTCCCCTGCTTGCCTCCGTCACCCTCTCTGCTCTCTGCTCTCTGCTCCGTGCGACACACTCCCTGACATTAGACTGGGGCGATGGGGTCAAGTCAGCCTACATGCAGCTCGCCCTGCGCTCGCTGCACTTCCTGGGAGGTGAGTAGTTGAGTCAGAGCGTCCATCCCTTCTGTCTCACGCTCACAGCCCTCATCTGCATGTGTGGGAGCCCTGGTTGCATGGCAAGGCGGCTGACTGGGGCGATGGGGTCAAATCCGCCCGCCTACATGGTCAGCCTACATGCAACTCGCCCTGCAATCTCTGCACTTCCTGGGAGGTGGGTGGGCGTTTGAGTCAGAATATCCATCTCTCCTGTCTCTATTCCTCCGCTTTGTTTCCCTGTCACATTCGCTCAAGTCCATCCCAAACACCCTATATTGCTCATCCTCTGCAAGCCATGGGGCCTGCTGCTGTTCCACTCTGCTCTTACCCTGATCTCTCTCTCTCTCTCCTCCCCTTCTCTTTCTCTCCCCTCCTCCCCACACACCACAGTCTCTCAGGTCCATCCCAAGAACTGGTACCTCATCCCACTCATCCTCTGCAAGCCGTGGGGCCTGTTGCTGCTGTTCTGCTCCCCTCTGCTCTTGCGTGTTCTCTCCCTTCGCCTTCTATTCCTCTCATCTGCTCCCCACACACCACAGTCTCTCAAGTCCATCCCAAGAACTGGTATCCCATTCCGCTCATCCTCTGCAAGCCATGGGGCCTGCTCCCCCCCGACGCGCCCTGCCATGCGCGCCTGGGGGATTTCGCCAAGTGCATGAGGAAGAAGGGCAGAGGAATGAGCATCTTCGTGTCTGTCTTAGAAGGGAATTACAGGTAAGGGGGGACGTTTGGCTTGATGGGGGCAAGGGTGGGGACTGCTCCCTCCCATACACAGACAGCAACCAGTGGGAGGGGGTGGCGGAGGTGATGGTGGCATCCTCTATGAGGCAAGGGTCGGTTGATCGCCCTTCTGTTCGGCTGAATGCCGAGTCTCCTTCCCCCCACCCTCCCTCCTTTACTTTCCTCCCCCATCCCTTCCTCTCCCCTCCGCCAGCGCCCTAGCCTCAGAAGCCAGTAGGTCAGCCCGAGTTTTGCTTGCCTATATTGACAGCAACCAGTGCGAGGGCGTGGCGGAGGTGATTGTTGGATCCTCTGTGAGGGAAGGAGTGGGGATCGTAGGTGCCAGACTGACTGCCAAGAAGCTTCTCGCCCTCCCTTCTCTCCACCTTCCCCCCCTTCCCTTTCAGCACCCTAGCATCAGAGGCCAGTAGATCGGCCCGATGTCTCCTGGCATACATAGACAGCAACCAGTGCGAGGGCGTGGCGGAGGTGATGGTGGCATCCTCTGTGAGGCGAGGCGTGGGCATCGCCCTGCAGAGCATGGGGCTGGCTGGCTTAAAGCCCAACATCGTCTGCTTCAGATACCCCGAGGCGTGGCAGCAGCAAGAATCAAGGTACGTGCCGCGTTTTGAAAGCACAGGCACATACATGTGGGGGGGTTAAGAATCCCCCTTCATGCAGAGCATGGGGCTGGCTGGCTTAAAGCCCAACATCGTCTGTTTCCAATACCCAGAGGCATGGCAGCAGCAAGAATCGAGGTACGGGCCTATAGTATTCTTCCTTGCTCCTGTAGTGGATTTAACAGCTGCAGTGCAAGAATAACTGTGTGAGTTTCCAAGATGCCTCAATTGCAGAGTTCGCCCATTTTATGCGCATTGCTGCTCCTCGTACCTTTCTTTCCTGCTCTTTTTCCCCATCCCTCGTTACAGTCACATCCCCGCAACGTTTGTGAGCCTGATCAACGACAGCAACACGGCGGGCAAGGCGTGTGTGATTGTAAAGGGGCTGGACGAGTGGCCGGCAGAGGGGTGCGGGCAGTACGGCACCATCGACCTGTTTTGGATCGTGAGGGATGGGGGCATCATGCTGCTGCTGTCCCAGCTGCTGCGGTCTCGACCCACCTTCGATGCTTGCAAGATTCAGGTGGGCTATATTTGAAACCTGGCTGGGTGGGTACCTCCCCAGCAGAGAAGTGTGGGCGGAGGGGTGCCGGCAGTACGGCACGATCAACCTGTTCTGGATCGTGAGGGATGGAGGCATCATGCTGTTGCTGTCGCAGCTGCTGCGGTCTCGACCCACCTTCGATGCTTGCAAGATTCAGGTGGGCTATATTTGAAACCTGGCTGGGTGGGTACCTCCCCAGCAGAGGGGTGTGGGCGGAGGGGTACCGGCAGTACGGCACCATCGACCTGTTCTGGATCGTGAGGGATGGAGGTATCATGCTGCTGCTGTCGCAGCTGCTGCGGTCTCGACCCACCTTCGATGCTTGCAAGATTCAGGTGGGCTATATTTGAAACCTGGCTGGGGTGGGTACCTCCCCAGCAGAGGGGTGTGGGCGGAGGGGTGCCGGCAGTACGGCACGATCAACCTGTTCTGGATCGTGAGGGATGGGGGCATCATGCTGTTGCTGTCCCAGCTGCTGCGGTCTCGACCCACCTTCGATGCTTGCAAGATTCAGGTGGGCTATATTTGAAACCTGGCTGGGTGGGTACCTCCCCAGCAGAGGGGTGTGGGCGGAGGGGTGCCGGCATTACGGCACGATCAACCTGTTCTGGATCGTGAGGGATGGAGGCATCATGCTGTTGCTGTCGCAGCTCCTGCGCTCCCGACCCACCTTCGACGCATGCAAGATCCAGGTGGGGTACCTTGGAAACTCTGGTGGCTGCCTGGGTGATTCCTCCTCCTCCTCTCCTGCTCTCCCTGTGTGGGGTAATGAAGGGGCCAGCAGAGGAGTGTGGGCAGTAGGCCACAATCGACCTGTTCTGGATCGTGAGGGATGGAGGCATCATGCTGCTGCTGTCCCAGCTGCTGCGCTCCCGACCCACCTTCGACGCATGCAAGATTCAGGTGCGCTGTGTGTGTTGGAAACCCGGCTGGCTGGGTAGGTGAACCGCCCTAAGGGACCGGCAGAGGGGTGCCGGCAGAGGGGTGCCGGCAGAGGGGTGCCGGCAGAGGGGTGCTGGCAGTACGGCACAATCGACGTGTTTTGGATTGTGAGGGATGGGGGCATCATGCTGCTGCTGTCCCAGCTGCTGCGGTCTCAACCCACCTTCGATGCTTGCAAGATTCAGGTGGGCTATATTTGAAACCTGGCTGGGTGGGTACCTCCCCAGCAGAGAAGTGTGGGCGGAGGGGTGCCGGCAGTACGGCACAATCAACCTGTTCTGGATCGTGAGGGATGAGGGTATCATGCTGCTGCTGTCCCAGCTGCTCCGGTCTCGACCCACCTTCGATGCTTGCAAGATTCAGGTGGGTGGGATGGGATTCATAGGTTGCTGATTCCTCCTCGCTATCCGGTCATCTATCACAGTTGCTGCTGTCCCAGCTGCTCAGGTCCCGACTCACCTTTGACGCATGCAAGATCCAGGTGGGTGGGATGGGATGGGATGGGATTCATATGATGTGAATTCAAGGTGGGTGATTCCTCCTCTTCATCTGGCTGCCTATCACAGTTGCTGCTGTTGCAGCTGCTGCGTTCCCGACTCACCTTCGACGCCTGCAAGATTCAGGTGGGCTTCTTTGGAAGCCAGGCTGGTTGGGTGATTCCTCCTCTCCTGGTCTCTGTGTGTGGGGTACTAGAGGGACCAGCAAAGAGGTTCTCTTCTTCCATCTGTCCTTGCAGGTGTTTTGCTTAGCTGAGGATGACGGAACGGCAAAGATGTTGCACCAGACATCGCTCAGTCGTCTGTCAGATATATTGGTACGACTTTGAGAATTCTCGAAAGTCGTACCAGAATTCTCAAAAATCGTGTCGTACCAATACAGGACGGCAAAGTCGTTGCAACTAGACATGGCTCAGTCGTCTGTCAACGCGCTTCGAATCTCCCGCACACACGCACACTTAGTCTCCTGCTTTCATCCCCCCTTTTCCTCAGGTGTTTTGCATTGCAGAGGACAATGGGACAGCAGAGACGTTGCTGCTAGACGCGGCCCAGTTGATAGTTGACGTGCTTCGAATCCCCCTCACACACGCGCACACTCACTCGAATCCTTGCTTTCATCTCGCCCGCCTCCTTCCCTTGCTTCAGGTGTTTTGCATTGCAGAGGACGATGGGACAGCTGAGACGTTGCAACTAGACGTGGCCCAGTTCCTGCACGACCTGCGCATGCAGGTGAGCTCAGAGCGGTCCAAAGCGGCTCAGAGTGGTGGTGGGGCGAGTCTTGGAGTGGCTTACAGTGGTTCAGAGTAACTCCGAGTGGCTCAGGTGAGTGTGGCTCAGGTGTGCGTGGCTCAGAGTGGTTAAGAACTGTTCAAAGTGGTCCAGAGTATCTCAGAGTGGCTCAAATTGCTTCGAAGTGGTTTAGCTCTGGCTCAGAGTGCTGAGGAGTGGAAAGTGGCTCCCAGCGGTTCAGCGTAGTTGAGCGTCATGCAGAGTGGCTCAGAGTGGCTCAGAGTGGCTAAGATAGATATTCCTTTCCTGTTCCTACATTCCCCCCTTCTCTGTACAGGCGGATGTGGTGGTGGTGACGATGGGAGCATGCGAGGACGTGGTGGGGGAGGAGGATGGATTAGAGGAGGCTGAGCTGAGCTTCTTGATGTGCCACTGAGATCCCGACGTTATTATCCCTTCCTGTCTCTACATCCCTCCGCTGTGTGTACAACAGGCTGATGTGGTGGTCGTGACGACGAGGGCACGGCATGACATACAGCCGGGGTGAAGAGTGTTTTTGAGAATTCTTTTGAGGCGCCTCAAAAGTCGGATGGGGTGGTGGTGACGACGAGGGCATGGGAGGACGTAGTGCCGGGCCGGGGTGAAGAGTGCTTTTGAGAATTCTCAAAAACACCCTGCAGCATAGTGGGGGATGAAGATGGGCCCGAGGCAGAGCTGTTACTCCCTCAACTAGAATCACAGAATTGAGAAAACAGCTCCTTCAGAAGCACAGAACCCTGACCTCCCTCCCCTCTTCCCTTGTCTGTACAGGCCGATGTGGTGGTGGTGACGATGAGAGCATGAGAGGACGTGGTGGGAGCCGAGGATGGGCCCGAAGCGGAACTGTTTTAGGCGTCCTAAATTCCCCTCACTGACAGCTCTTTTCCCAACCTAAGAAAACACTAACACTGACCTCTCTCGCCCTCCCTTGTCTGTACAGGCGGATGTGGTGGTGGTGACGATGAGAGCATGGGAAGACGTGGTGGGGGATGAGGACGGGCCTGACGCAGAGAAAATTTAGACGCCTCAGAATCCTGTATCTGATTTCTCTCACCACACCCCCTCTTCCCCCCGTCTGTACAGGCGGATGTGGTGGTGGTGACGATGAGAGCATGGGAGGACGTAGTGGGGGATGAGGATGGGCCCGAGGCTGAGCTGGCGAGGCAGGGCGCCATGGAGGCGTTTACTCGGGTAGGTGGATTGGCCTGCTGCTAACATTCTTACTTCCATGAATACACATGTGCAGTCTCATGCACTTATGCATGCATATGGTATGGGCTTATATTGGGGCGAGGATGGACCCGAGGCTGAGCTGGCGAGGCAGGGCGCCATGGAGGCGTTTACTCGGGTGGGTGGATGCACACGCATGCATATGCACACACACACACACACACACACACACACACACACACGCACGCACACACGCACGCACGCACGCACACACACACACACAACCCCACGCACGCACACACGCACGCACGCACACACACACACACACAAACACACACACAAACACACACACACACACAAACACACACACACACACGCACACACGCACACACACACACACACACACGCACGCACACACGCACGCACGCACACACACACACACACAAACACACACACAAACACACACACACACACAAACACACACACACACGCACACACGCACACACACACACACACACGCACGCACACACACACACACACTCACACAAACACACACACAAACACACACACACACACACAAACACACACACACACGCACACACACACACACACACACACACACACACACACACACACACACACACACACACACACACACACACACACGCGCGCACGCATGTGCATACACATCGGAGGATGTGGTGGGGGATGAGGATGGGCCCGAGGCAGAGCTGGCGAGGCAGGGCGACGTGGAGGCATTTACTCGGGTGGGTGGATTCATGGACATGCATACATGATGCACATGCTCACAAACACACACATGACAACATGGGCGTATGTTGAGGCGAGGATGGGTCAGAGGCTTAGTTGGCGAGGCAGGGGGATATGGAGGCGTTTACTCCGGTGGGTGGCTTCACACATGTGCATGCATGCACACACATGCCCACACATGCGTACAGTCCCATGCACACATGCATACAGTCTGATGAACACACACACACACACACACACACACACCCCCACACACACCATACACACATCACACGCACACCACACGCACATACATGTGTAAAGTGTCGCGCACACTTCACCTTCCCCTTTCCCTGCACTCTCCCTTCCCACTTTTTTGTGACAGGCACGAACGAACATAGCCACGATGATGGAGGCAGATGCACAAATGTTACATGGCCAAGGTGGTAACGCTTCTACAGAAACAGATGCCTCAAATCCTTCTCCTACACTCTTTCCCCTTTTTTCAAACAGGCACGAACGAACATAGCCACGATGATGGAGGCCGATGCACACATGCCCCATGGTTCTCATGGTAACGCTTCTACAGAAACAAATGCCTCAACGCCAAGTGCGAGCATTCAAAGGCAGCACCGAACCAAGCAGCCCTTGCCCGAACCTGCGGGGAGCAAGGCCAAGGGAAAGGTTTTCGACGAGGGGCAGGTGAATAAGTTTCTGTACACCACGATTAAGCTTAACTCTATTATTAAAAGATACTCTAAGATGGCGGCGTTGGTGCTTGTCAGCTTGCCGCCGCCGCCTGCTCACCATCCCCCTTATTGCTATATGGAGTACATGGATAGGCTTGTAGATGGTGTACCTAGGTTGCTCATGGTGCGTGGATATCGTAGGGATGTTGTGACCATTTTTTCATGATCATGTGCTGTAAATGTTGACACTTTTTCCAGAGCAATTGATTGAATCATGTTAGTTCTTGATTGCTTGCAGAAACACTGACACTTCATCAGTTTTGCTCTAAATTTCCATAGCATTTGTAAACGGAGAACTCAACATATTTCCTAGGCAGAGCTGGAAACGTTCGGGTATACTTTGACTTTTTTTCGATCTCAGAAGCAGTTCCTTCCACAATCAGGGGACCTGACGCTGGAATTGGAAAACCGCTTTTGGTGATGTAGTAGTACCTACCGTATAGTTCCGGCTAGAAGACCCGGGGGACTCTCTATGAAAAACTGCTAGGGTGGACATCTTGGTGGTTGCAAACTTTTAAGACCCGGGGTACACCTATTTGTCTATTAACATTAATGGATTTACCATGTACAGTCTCGTTACAGGGGGGGGGGTGTCTTTTATTTTTCTCGTCGAAATCCCTCGCTTAGCGCAGCACGTGCGTGACGTCGCCCACAACACGCGGCAACGTACAAGGCGCGAAGGCGCATTGAGCCCCACAAAACACGCACCGCACATCATCTTGACGGAATCGACCGTCAAGATTGGTTTAGTCACGGGGCCTTCAAGCAGCCCATCTCGTCTCAGAGGCAGGAGAGGCACAGGACGTGGAGCACTAGGGTTTCACGTCTCCACCCTGCCGAGCACGGGAGCCCTAGTGGTTCATTTCGCTCTGTTCCGTGTCTCAGATCTAACTCTGCCTCCCTTGCTTTTTTCCCGACTACAAAGCACGCTATGGCAGCTGCCACTGAAGCAATCAGTTGCCGGTAGAACATTAGCAGCTTCTTTCAATGTCTGTTCACGAGAGCCCATGGCGTTCGCGGCGTTCATACTTACCGGTAGGCAGTTTGTCTGGCCAGCCTGCTGTCGTGCTCATCACAAGCTCGGCCCCGCCAGCTCCTCCTGCGCCTCCTGCACCTCCGGCCCCTCCGGCTCCTCCTGCCCTCCTGCGCCCCCTGTGCTTCCCTCGGGCGTGGTCGACTGGCGCAACAACCCTCCGTTGGACCCTCTCCAGAACGAGGGGTTTTCCCAACCCGCCGCCGCTTGGGATGAGGACATGGCGGGTGACGATGAGGTGAACCACGACGTCGGCAATTTCCCGATCCCGTCGTTTTCGGAGGATCTCATGCACGACGAGAACGGTCCGCGGTCCAGAGTCGACGGTGCGCCATCGAGTCCCCGCCATCGAGTACACACACTCGCAAGGCCCGTACGATGGGTGAGAAACAAGATTGGCTCGCGCGGATGGAGGCGGAGAAACTATCCGTCCGCCACACGGCACGTCTCGCGGGGGTGCAACCGGTCAATGTCCGCCGGTGGATTCGGGTGGCGGATCGGATTAAAAACGCGGAGCGCTCCGGGCGGCGCCTCAGCGGTGGCGGGAGGAAGGCTAAGTACCCCGACATGGATGCGCACGCCTACAAACGCATGCTCAACTTCCGCGGCCGTGGCTTGGCCGTGCCGATTCGCCTCATCAAGCACTGGAGCAGGGTCTACATGAAGGCCCACTACCTGGACGTGAGGTGGATGGCGTCCAACAGGTGGACGTACCGCTTCCGCGCGCGCCTGGGACTCTCCATCCGCGTGAAAACGAAGATTGGGCAACGTCTCGCAAAAGGTAAGACGTTGGTGTGCATTTTATACCCTCTTAGTGCATCCTTTTTGTGCTGTTGTGCATGTGACATCGAGGGTATACCGAAGCCCGTGGCTCATGCACATGAATCTTATCTTGTGCGTTCGTGGCAGAGTGCAAGCCGAAGTGCCTGGAGTTTTGGGAGTTCACCCGCAAGAACATCATCAAGCACGGCATCGACTCGTGGAACATCATTAACGCCAACCAAACGCCCGTGTTTTTGGAGATGCCGAACGAGCGCACCCTTCATCACCGCGGGGAGAAGACGGTGCACGTCAGGAGCGCAGGGTATGAGAAGGAGAGGGTTACGGTGATGCTTGGCATCAGCGCTGACGGCCGCAAACTCCCTGCCATGGTGATTTTTAAGCGCAAGACAATCCCGAAGATTCGGGTGCCTGCAGGTGAGTCTAAACCGTTAAAAAGGTTCAGTTTCGTGCGTGTTTGGGGGCGATGTCTAACCACGCTTGACGTTCATGTGCAAGAGTCGTCATCCGCGCACAAGCCAAGGGATGGATGGACGCCAAGCTAGTCGACGACTGGGTGAACAACATTCTGTTGCCGTTCATCAAGCCCCCGCGTGGCATCCGACGGTCCAAGACCCTGTTGGTCCTGGACTCGTACCGGGGCCATCTCACCGATGGGGTGCTCACCAACTTGAAGTGGAACCGGGTGATCCCGGCCATCATCCCAGGGGGCTGCACTCCTCTGCTGCAGCCCCTTGACGTGAGCGTGAACCGCTCATTCAAGGCGCTGCTGCGTGAGATGTACAACGAGTGGTTCGTCGAGATCGGCATCAACACGTTCACGAAAGCCAGTGAGTGGGCCGGTTACGCGTGTGTTTGTTCTAACATGTGTGGGCCGGTTCTAACTTCCTGTCTCCCCATGTGCTTCTTTCTCTGTGTACCCTGTGCGTGGCAGGGAACTTGAAGAAGCCCCCACTTGAAACGGTGCTCAAGTGGATTGCGGCGGCTTGGGCGGCGGTCCCCGAGCACATCATTGAGAAGGCGTTTCTCACCACCGGAATCAGCAACTATGTCGACGGGAAGCAGGATCACCTCGTCCTGGCCCACATGCGCGATGCGGGCGAGGTCGAGGTGGCAGAGGACGTGCACGTCGCCCCTGAAGTGGAGGAGTGGGTGAACCCCCTGTATGCAACCGCCGCAGATGACGAGGAGGCGACAAAGGTGGCGGATGCCGAGGATGCCAGGGACCTCCCTGAGGAGGAGGAGGCGGAGGAGGATGAGGAGGAGGAGGAGGAGGAGGATGAGGAGGAGGACGCGGAGGAGGAAGAGGACGAGGAGGAGGCAGGGGATGAGGAGGAGGCAGGGGACGAGGAGGAGGAGGAGGAAGGTGGGCTGGAGGAGAATGCGGATGATGAGTGAGGAGTATGGGAGTGGCAGGGTTGTGGTATGGGCCTTTCAGGAGTGAAAGATGCTAGATTTGCTACTTTGACCTTGTAATGTCTAGATTTAGGGTAAAGTCAGTGAAGCAATGTGTGTGTAAGTTTAACCATCTAGTTTACCAGATTGAAAAGGGCACTTCAAGGAAGGGGGGGGTCTTATGATGATTTACGGCCAAGGGGGGGTCCTCACAATATCTGCCACAATAAGAGTCCCCCTACCCGTTCAAGAGTCCCTGGGGACCTTCTTACCAGCGGGTCTTCTAGCCGGAACTATACGGTATAGTCATGTCGCGATCGAATTATTTGACAGAGAAAATCACGCCATCTGACCCATCAGGTAGGTTCAAAACCTAGGGATGACCCTGACACCTGAAACTCTCATGGTCCTAGATAGAAAGAGGAAAAGAAGGGAAAGAAAGACATAAATGAAGGAGAAAGGAAATGAAGAAAGAAAGGGAGAAGGAAAATGAAACTGCCAAAAAGAACCCAAATGCAACACACATAAAACCCCCCCTCAAGATACCCAATCAAAGCGCCCAGTCAAAACACCCCATCAAGACATCCCATCCCACACCTCATTCCCCCCCCCCCCAAATCACAACAGCATATCGACCATGTACGGGGCCTCCACCCAGAGAGCCCCGCCTTCCACATCGACATCGTCCCTCTCCCGGTCCACCAAGTCTACGTTAATCCCCCCCCATGGAAGACGCCGCTCGCAGCAGGATGACACGGGCTTGCGCACGTTGTAACGCCACCCCGATGAGCGCCTTCAGTGACCCTAAACGATAAGCCAAAAGCACGGAGTCGTCTCTCTCGACAAGCCCCCCGCGACACAGCTAGCCCCACGTGCGCATCCCCCTGCTGACGAAGCCACCGCCGAAAACGACCGCCGAGACACCCCTACGTCTCTACTATCAGAGGGGTGAACTGCACGCCCCGGTTGCGTGCAAGCAGAGACGCGTAATCACTCGTTTTGCGACGCTCCCACTCTCTTGCCGCCACACCTATTTGGCGCCCGCACTGTCCTAGCAGAGATGGAGACAGGGATAGCGGGTCCGCGACGCTGATCTCTAGGGCGTGAGCCTCTCCAGCCATTGGTCGTCGCACCGCCACATCAACCCGCTTTCCCTACAGCACTATAGGGAGTGCTAGATCTGAATTGGAAAACCGCGGTCTGCTGGAGTAAGTTCCGGATGACACGAACAGCACGTGACAAAAAATTGAAACGCGCCCTACGTACTTGACATCTTCCCAAGCTTAGGATGCAACCATACCTCATCACACAGAAAACTATCGTACCATCTTGAACCATCTCAAAGCCTTAAGGGTGCGTCAGATCCGCTACAATGTGATTTGGCTGGAATTTTGTCGACAATTTGGTCGACTGTATCTTTCGCCAAAGTCGACAACATGGTCGACATAAAAAGCGACCAATATCCGGCCACATTTACAGGGCCGAAAAATCTGACACATTTGGTGGCCGATTTGCAGGCCGCTTTGCAAATGTGTCAGATTTTCAGTTCGCTAGGGTGGCCGGATTGTGCGACGGAGTCGCAGATGCAGTACTTGTGTGACACGTTGCGTCGCACGAGCTGGCGACGTCGTATAGTGACTGTAGCGATCTCAGGTCGACAAATTGGTCGACTTTCGAGTCGACTGCACGTCGGAACTTTGTCGAATGCTGAACCGGCCTCATTTTTTTTTACAAATGGCCGGATTTAGCGAATTCGACGACAATTTATGCGAGTGTCGCAAACTTGTTACTTTCGCTAATTCCGGCCGGCCGGATTTTTCCGACAACGGATCTGACGCACCCTAACTTTAGGATCTGTTTCACGAGAGCCAAGACCACTCAAAGCAGCACGTTTCTGATTCCGCCCCAAGGCTTCGGCGTGTGCATTTTTCATAAGGTAAGGGCGTGTAACTTTGCTCCGACCAAACGAAATGGTCGACCAAATGGGATCAAACCTTTTCCAACCAATTTCGAGGGTGGTTTAGGGTGGTTGTTCCGCGTCCTGGCGAACAGAATGGTCGTTGTGCTCGAAAAGTTTGGCGGGGCTCGTAGAATCGTTACAAGTTTCGCTTTCGCCAGATCCGGCCATTTGGTCGGATTTTGGGCTTGGTCGAAGCAAAGTTACACGCCCTAAGGGCGACGTCAGGTTGTACACTTTCTCACACATACACAAATCTTGCATCGTGGCTCAGGACGGTTCCACACTGTGTAAAGCGGTTTTCAAGCTTCACCGTTTTGCACCGCGACGAAACGAAGTTGATCGCAGAGGGCGTGCAAAAAGTAGTACAACCTGACGTCGCCCTAAGCGAGCGTGATCCCGAGACCCATTAGCTACAAAATTCTCAGAAGTCGCGGGAGGCGGTAGTAGGGATTGGGCATACAGTAGTAGCTGGGGAGCCATGAGGTTAACTTAGGTGCTACTAAGCTACTTTTTGTGTTAGCTGGTTATCGACCTCGTCGCCGATTATCTCCGTGCTTTCCCCCACACCCCTCACCCAGAAGTTGTTTGATCACTAGATTCCAGACCCTAATGGGTCTCGTGTGCGTGAGGTTTTCTCGGGGAGATCGTTATGTCTCGCTACGGAGCACCTCGTTACTGGCGTCTATCTTTCTGCTCGTCCTCGCTCATGACACTGTAGCAAGAGTCATCTTGCCGTACAGCTTGGGGGCGATTGATCCGACGGGTAGCATGGGAACTCGAGAAGAATCAACGGTTGAGATCGATCAACACGCAGATTCAGGCAAGGCAAGCAGAAATAGTATCGCAGCTCCCTTGAATCATGTTTTCAAACCAGTTCGTTCACTTCTCAGTATCTTCACTATTGCGTATGGATCCTGTCTTGTTCCTCTTCCCCCATCTCTCTCTCTCTCTCTTACCCCTTTTTCTCTTCGCAAGCGCGAGAATTGGCACCAGAACTGGTCGTGTCTTTCAGGAGCAGCACACGAAGAAGTTTTTCTTACTCTCTACCCCCCCCCCCCCCCCCCCCCGCCCCCCCCTCCCCCTCCCCCTCCCCCTCCCCCTCCCCCTCCCCCCTCCCCTTCCACCCCCCTCTTCTTTTTCCTCCTTTGCAGGCACTACAACTAGCACCATGTCGCTTCCAGGGCTTGTTGTTTCAGTCAGGAGCAGCACTCGAAGCAGCGGGACAGAACCAACAGCACAAGGCGCTGTATCGGACGTGACTTTATCGAGAACTGTGCCTGTATCAGATAAGATCACAGCAGAGGGAGCAGGAGAAGTGCTAGCGAGAAGGAGGCAGCTAGCAGGGTTTGAGACGTACGATATTCGGCGAGTGCGAGAATGGGTGGTTGCACAAAATAACGTCAGAAAGCTATACTCTGGAAATGCAGATAAGAAAAGTTCCTCCTCCTCGTCCTCCTCTCCGCTCCCCCCTCTCCTGTGGGACCCAGCTTTAGCCCGCTTTGCCCAAGCACACGCGGATTCAGTAGGTGCCAACGCGCAATGCCGCCCGGAAGCCAACGAGGCGGCGGGGGAGGCGGGTCTGGGGGAGGTGTATCTATGGGCTGCGGTGGAGAAGGGGGAGGCGTTATTCACGGCCGCAGAGGCGGTTGACGCATGGGCGGAGCAGGTGAGATGAGACTGGGGAAGGGGGAGGAGGGGGAGGCGGGCCGGGGGGAGGTGTATCTGTGGGCCGCATTGGAGAAGGGGGAGGCGTTATTCACGGCCGCAGAGGCGGTTGACGCGTGGGCGGAGCAGGTGAGATGAAACCAGGGATGGGGGGAAGAGCGGAAAGGGAGGGAGTGGGGGAAGGGAAGGGGGGTAAAGCGTTTTCGGCCGGCGGGACTGGGGGAGGTATATCTGTGGACTGGGGTGGAAAGGGGATGCTGCAGAGGCGGTTGAAGCGTGGGTGGCGCAGGTGAGATGAAACCAGGGATGGGAAGGGGGGAGGGGTGGAGAGGGGGGGAAGGGGAGAAAGCGATGTATTGATTTATGTGGACCCCCATTTACCCCTGTTGACCCTTGTTGACCACCACTGACCCCCGTTGACTCACGAGGGAAAGCACTACAGCAGCAGCACAGGGGCGTGCGTGCAAGGGGAGGACTGTGGCGCATTCAGTGCTTATCTTTCAAATGTTCACCAATGTGAATTCCGTTGAAGCCCGTTGACCTCCGTTGACCGCTGTTGACTTTTGTTTTCTTGGAAGGGCAAGCATTACAGAAGCAGCACAGAGGCATGCGTGGAAGGGGAGGACATAGCGCATTCAGTTTTTGTCTTTCAAACTTTCACCAATATGAACGCCGTTGACCTCTGTTGACTCCCATCAACCCCTGTTGAGTTTTGTTCACTCAACAGGGCAAGCACTACAGCAGCAGCAGCACAGAGGCATGTGTGCAAGGGCAGACTTGCGGCGCAATCAGTGGGTGTCGTTCTATTGTTCACCATTATGGATGCCGTTGACCCCTTTTGACCTCCGTTGACTCGCCAGGGCAAGCACTACAGCAGCAGCACAGAAGCGTGCGTGAAAGGGGAGGACTGTGGCGCATTCAGTGGGCGTTTCTATATGTTCACCAATATGAACCCCGTTGATCCCCATTGACCCCTGTTCTGTTCACTCAACAGGGCAAGCACTACAGCAGCAGCGCAGGGGCGTGCGTGCAAGGGGAGGACTGTGGCGCATTCATTCAGCTCACGTGGAGAGACACGAGGAGGGTGGGGTGTGGCGAGGTGCGTTCCTGCACGTTCCCCTTCTGCCGATCTCGCTTTTCCCCTCACACACAATGTCATTATCACTGACTGTGGCGCATTCAAGCATTCATTCAGCTTGCGTGGAAAGACACGAGGAGGGTGGGGTGTGGCGAGGTGCGTTCCTGCACGTTCCCCTTCTGCCGATCTCGCTTTTCCCCTCACACACAATGTCATTATCACTGACTGTGGCGCATTCAAGCATTCATTCAGCTTGCGTGGAAAGACACGAGGAGGGTGGGGTGTGGCGAGGTGCGTGGCTGCATGTTCCCCTTCTGCCGATCTCGCTTTCCCCCTCACACACAATGTCATTATCACTGACTGTGGCGCATTCAAGCATTCATTCAGCTTGCGTGGAACGACACGAGGAGGGTGGGGTGTGGCGAGGTGCGTTCCTGCACGTTCTCTCTCTCCCTCTCTCTCTTTCCTCCTCACACACACATTCTCACTGTCACTGACTGGCGCGCATTCATTCGCACACAATGTCATTATCACTGACTGGCGCGCATTCATTCGCACACAATGTCATTATCACTGACTGGCGCGCATTCATTCGCACACAATGTCATTATCACTGACTGGCGCGCATTCATTCGCACACAATGTCATTATCACTGACTGGCGCGCATTCATTCGCACACAATGTCATTATCACTGACTGGCGCGCATTCATTCGCACACAATGTCATTATCACTGACTGGCGCGCATTCATTCGCACACAATGTCATTATCACTGACTGGCGCGCATTCATTCGCACACAATGTCATTATCACTGACTGGCGCGCATTCATTCGCACACAATGTCATTATCACTGACTGGCGCGCATTCATTCGCACACAATGTCATTATCACTGACTGGCGCGCATTCATTCGCACACAATGTCATTATCACTGACTGGCGCGCATTCATTCGCACACAATGTCATTATCACTGACTGGCGCGCATTCATTCGCACACAATGTCATTATCACTGACTGGCGCGCATTCATTCGCACACAATGTCATTATCACTGACTGGCGCGCATTCATTCGCACACAATGTCATTATCACTGACTGGCGCGCATTCATTCACACACAATGTCATTATCACTGACTGGCGCGCATTCATTCGCACACAATGTCATTATCACTGACTGGCGCGCATTCATTCGCACACAATGTCATTATCACTGACTGGCGCGCATTCATTCGCACACAATGTCATTATCACTGACTGGCGCGCATTCATTCGCACACAATGTCATTATCACTGACTGGCGCGCATTCATTCGCACACAATGTCATTATCACTGACTGGCGCGCATTCATTCACACACAATGTCATTATCACTGACTGGCGCGCATTCATTCGCACACAATGTCATTATCACTGACTGGCGCGCATTCATTCACACACAATGTCATTATCACTGACTGGCGCGCATTCATTCACACACAATGTCATTATCACTGACTGGCGCGCATTCATTCACACACAATGTCATTATCACTGACTGGCGCGCATTCATTCACACACAATGTCATTATCACTGACTGGCGCGCATTCATTCACACACATTGTCATTATCACTGACTGGCGCGCATTCATTCACACACAATGTCATTATCACTGACTGGCGCGCATTCATTCACACACAATGTCATTATCACTGACTGGCGCGCATTCATTCACACACAATGTCATTATCACTGACTGGCGCGCATTCATTCACACACAATGTCATTATCACTGACTGGCGCGCATTCATTCACACACAATGTCATTATCACTGACTGGCGCGCATTCATTCACACACAATGTCATTATCACTGACTGGCGCGCATTCATTCGCACACAATGTCATTATCACTGACTGGCGCGCATTCATTCGCACACAATGTCATTATCACTGACTGGCGCGCATTCATTCGCACACAATGTCATTATCACTGACTGGCGCGCATTCATTCGCACACAATGTCATTATCACTGACTGGCGCGCATTCATTCGCACACAATGTCATTATCACTGACTGGCGCGCATTCATTCGCACACAATGTCATTATCACTGACTGGCGCGCATTCATTCGCACACAATGTCATTATCACTGACTGGCGCGCATTCATTCACACACAATGTCATTATCACTGACTGGCGCGCATTCATTCACACACAATGTCATTATCACTGACTGGCGCGCATTCATTCACACACAATGTCATTATCACTGACTGGCGCGCATTCATTCACACACAATGTCATTATCACTGACTGGCGCGCATTCATTCACACACAATGTCATTATCACTGACTGGCGCGCATTCATTCACACACAATGTCATTATCACTGACTGGCGCGCATTCATTCACACACAATGTCATTATCACTGACTGGCGCGCATTCATTCACACACAATGTCATTATCACTGACTGGCGCGCATTCATTCGCACACAATGTCATTATCACTGACTGGCGCGCATTCATTCGCACACAATGTCATTATCACTGACTGGCGCGCATTCATTCGCACACAATGTCATTATCACTGACTGGCGCGCATTCATTCGCACACAATGTCATTATCACTGACTGGCGCGCATTCATTCGCACACAATGTCATTATCACTGACTGGCGCGCATTCATTCACACACAATGTCATTATCACTGACTGGCGCGCATTCATTCACACACAATGTCATTATCACTGACTGGCACGCATTCATTCACACACAATGTCATTATCACTGACTGGCGCGCATTCATTCGCACACAATGTCATTATCACTGACTGGCGCGCATTCATTCGCACACAATGTCATTATCACTGACTGGCGCGCATTCATTCGCACACAATGTCATTATCACTGACTGGCGCGCATTCATTCGCACACAATGTCATTATCACTGACTGGCGCGCATTCATTCGCACACAATGTCATTATCACTGACTGGCGCGCATTCATTCACACACAATGTCATTATCACTGACTGGCGCGCATTCATTCACACACAATGTCATTATCACTGACTGGCGCGCATTCATTCACACACAATGTCATTATCACTGACTGGCGCGCATTCATTCACACACAATGTCATTATCACTGACTGGCGCGCATTCATTCACACACAATGTCATTATCACTGACTGGCGCGCATTCATTCGCACACAATGTCATTATCACTGACTGGCGCGCATTCATTCGCACACAATGTCATTATCACTGACTGGCGCGCATTCATTCGCACACAATGTCATTATCACTGACTGGCGCGCATTCATTCGCACACAATATCATTATCACTGACTGGCGCGCATTCATTCGCACACAATGTCATTATCACTGACTGGCGCGCATTCATTCGCACACAATGTCATTATCACTGACTGGCGCGCATTCATTCGCACACAATGTCATTATCACTGACTGGCGCGCATTCATTCACACACAATGTCATTATCACTGACTGGCGCGCATTCATTCACACACAATGTCATTATCACTGACTGGCGCGCATTCATTCACACACAATGTCATTATCACTGACTGGCGCGCATTCATTCACACACAATGTCATTATCACTGACTGGCGCGCATTCATTCACACACAATGTCATTATCACTGACTGGCGCGCATTCATTCACACACAATGTCATTATCACTGACTGGCGCGCATTCATTCACACACAATGTCATTATCACTGACTGGCGCGCATTCATTCACACACAATGTCATTATCACTGACTGGCGCGCATTCATTCGCACACAATGTCATTATCACTGACTGGCGCGCATTCATTCGCACACAATGTCATTATCACTGACTGGCGCGCATTCATTCGCACACAATGTCATTATCACTGACTGGCGCGCATTCATTCGCACACAATGTCATTATC